ATATGCTGGTGCTGGATACTTGAATATGTATTTTAGTATGCTACAATGCTTCAGAGTATAATTTATAGATATTCTCTCTGGGCTGTGCATAATAATTATAGTAAACATATTATTTGATGAATTTCATGTTCTCTTAGGTTCTATTTTAGTGTCTATCTTACTCTGGTTCCCATAAACCAAGTTTTGGCTTTGAAATCCATTATTATAAATTTATGAGCTGGAGAGATGGCTCAGTGGTTGAGAGCACTGACTGCTCTTCCAGAGGACCTGGGTTCAATTTCCAGCACCCACATGGCAGCTCACAACTGTCTTTAACTTCAGTTCAAGGGGACCAGACACCCATGGCAAAATACCAATGCACATAAAAAATATTTATTTTAAAAATAAATTTATAAGGCATGGTAGTGCACATTCATAATCTCAATACTTGGAAGGTAAAATCAGGAGAACGAGGAGCTCAAGGCCAGGCCACTACATGAAGCACCTTTCTTAGAAAGAAACAAATGAACAAAAACAAGTTTTTTACTTACCTAAACAGTAATACGCAATACATTTGATGAAGCTGTGATTATAGTGAATTCTTTTAAATTACCATGAAAAATAAAATATTCAGACCAACAAGATAATACAAAGTATGTAGGAAAGCCTCAAGAACTTTATGAAAGTTATCACATACCTTCCCATCGTTTGTCTTTCTCCCGGGGATGAACAGTATAGTGGGTGGTAATTTGAGGCACGACAGAAGTTGAAGACCATCTTGTAGCACACAGAGGTAGGCACTTTTTCTTAATTTTTAAGGCATGAAAGCACTGATACACTGCATAAAAATTATGAACAATATCTTTTTTAAAATTCATCTTCACCTGTCAGAGAATGAAAAGGCTCTAAGCAGAACAACTGTTCCTAATGAAAGACACACATGGAAATGGAGCATGCTCTTTCTCAGATGAATTACACAGCTAGCTTTTGGTCAGGATGCAACATTTTCAAATCTTTTAAGACAAGTAAGAAATAGTGTAACAAAGTGAATGACCCGGAGACTGAATACATACAGGGGAGATGGTTACCCATCAAATGGCACAAAAACGCACAGAAAAACATTTGGAAAAAATCATATACCCTGTTCTTTATGTCAAAACGAATTCTATTCAGTCAATGTCTTGTGTGTGTGTGTGTGTGTGTGTGTGTGTGTGCACGTGCGCTCTTGTTTTTGAGAAATGGTCTCATTATACAGCCCGGGCTTATGTGTAACTTCTTATATAGATGACGCTGGGTTTGAACTACAGAGATCCACCTGCCTTTGCCTCCCAAGGGCTGAGGTTAAAGGTGAACAGCACTATACTAAGCTTTAATCAAACATTGTTTTAGAGAGAAATTCAAAGTACTAAAAAGACTGTGAGTATATACCCTACATTTTATGATTCTTTCCTGTGAGTGTGGACTGGATTTAATTAGTTTCTAGTAAATAGAAAACTAAAAGAGAGGGGCTGGAGAGATGGCTCAGCAGTGAAGAGCACTGGCTGCTCTTCCAGAGAACTCAAGTTCAATTCCCAGCAACCACATGGCCTCTCACACCTGCCTCTAACTCCAGTTCCAGAGGATCCAACACTCTCTCTCTCTCTCTCTCTCTCTCACACACACACACACACACACACACACTCAAAACACTAATGCACATAAAATAAACTGAACAAAAAACTAAAAAAGAAAAAAAACTTTATAGTAGAAAAATGTCCGTAAATCTAATTTGAATTAAGTGATCAAATATCATTTAAATGTTACTAGCCACACACAGATAGCACATGCGATGATGTAATGAGTCTTTACCTGTGTGGTACATACCCTCAAAATCCTTACACCTCCATCTAGTCAGCAAATCACAAGAAACCACCAAGCAAATTTAGATTGAAAGGCATTCGATAAAATGCTTGACAATATACATTAAAAACATCAAGGTCACGAAAGACAAGCAGAGGAACTGTCTCATTCAAACAGATGAAGGTATGCTAACTAAAGGCAACAGGAACTAGATCCTGGACCAGAAAAACGGGGATCGGAGTAACCTTGTCATGTAATAACATTTCGCCAACGTTAATTTCTTAGTCTTGATGTTCACCATGATTATGTAAGCTGTTAGTCTCAGGAAAAGGCGCACAGGAACTCTGTATTTGCTCTACAGCTCATCTGAAAGCCGAAACCAGGCTCAAAATAAAAACTTGAATAAAGAATAGAGTGAAAACGAAAGTAGATCAAAGACCGGAATACAAGAGCTACAACTATTTAGATGTGCTTGGTGGCACACGTCTTTAATCCCAGGATTTGGAGGCAGAGGCAGGCGGATCTCTGTGACTACCAGGCCTGTTGGTCTACACAGAGAGAGTTCTGGTGGTCCATAGACTCCATTTCAAAAAACAAGGAATACCTGTGTGTTCACTGGATCAGGGCCTTTCTAGGAACAATTTCAATGGTTGTATACTTAGAAGCCTATGAAGGTCTGTTTAATTTCTGGCAAAATAGTAAATTCTGGTTCTTTCTAACTTGGACTGTGTGCAATGAAGCATCTGCAAATGAAGAAACTTTTAATATGGACTGTAAAAAGTAAACAGTAACCACAAAGAATTTAATTTTGAGTACACAGTTTATACTTTCTGGGACACAATGAGTGGTTCAGAACTTTCTACTTAAACACTATATCCTGGTTGGCTGTGGCTCAGGTGACAGAACATCTCTGACACCACTGAACTAGGAGTGCTGATGCGTGCTGGGAGGACCAGAAATTCAAGGTCATCCTCGGCTACACAGTGAGGTCATACCCAGCCTGTAATACATGAGAACCCACTCCAAACAAAACAAACCCATCATGTCTTATCCCTCAGAACTTCCTGAGATATGTGGAGTAGCTACAAACCCTATTTACAGCAGACAAGGAGAAATTCAGATAGTCTTTTCCAATAACTGTCCAACTCTGAGACTAGTAATTGATCTCTGAAGTAATGGAACCTGAGGCTGTGGCAAATTTTTATTTTCTTCTAATTAAACAGAAAAAAAGGCCTGTTAAAACAAAATCAACTTGACATAAACTAATTTTATTTTTTTAGTAACAACTGCATGGTTAATATCTTTTAATATTTTTCAACAAAGCAGTTATTAAAGTAATACGTAGCATCAGGACAATAAAAGTTACGGCGAATGGAGGGGGAGAAGCATTTGGAGCAGAAGTCTAACGCCTTCTAAGTGCTATCTATACATCTGCTTTTGATAACTTTCAAGTGGCAGGGGAATCCATTTTCTCTACTTGTAATGCACACTGAAAATTACAATATTACTGGGTAGTGGTGGCACATGCCTTCAATCATAGCATTTGGAAGGCAGAGGCAGGTTGATTCTGCGACTTTGAGGCCAGCCTGGTTTACAGAACAAGTAGCAGGGCAGTTAGGGCTACACTGAGAAATGTCTCAAAAAGTCAAAATAAATAAATAAGTATAAAATCTATATTGGGAATACTTTATTAAGACCAAGATTAAGTCTTCATTTACTCTAAATCTTGAAAGCAAGATAACTACAAATATCATATACGAATTTAGCTTGAGCTCAAACATATTATCATTTAAAAAGGGTATTATACACTGGAGTTTAGCATATACAAGTTCTCATTTACTTCTGCAAGCTGAGTGGAATATGACAGACTTCAATTTTGTTGTTTGTTCAGCTACTAATTTGCTTGAGAACAGTTAGAACCATGACCTCTGATTTCCACCAGGGAATTTTAAAAAGGCATAACCTTTACTCCTTTGCTAAAACGAGCCTGGCGTCTCTCAGGAGGTATGTGAACATAGAACATAGAGGCTGAGTTACGGTAGGGAAACGAAGTCACAGAGTCCACTGAACAACACATTCCACACTCACGTCCATTTAGCTGCTGTCACTAGAGCTAACGCTGGGTTATGAAACGTAACAAATTAGCCGCCAAAGAAGAGTCACTGACTGGACTCAAGACTGACGGTAGCTACACTAGGCTGTAAAGAGGACAAGACCTGATACATCGATGGCCCCCAAAATGGAACATACTCTGTGTGTAAGAGATACTTGGTTTGAATTTACAACATGCATACTTGTTTAAAAAGTCCGCAGCCAAATCCTAACTTCAGTAAAGATTTCTATTAAGTCAGTTACATGAGAATTCACGATTCTCTAAACTTCTGTTTGAATTAGGGGTTGTTTTAAGGTAAAACTTTAAAAATATCATCCAACTGCTTTAAGAAGCACCCATAACAGAGTTTCTGGAGTTAACTAAGCACGCAGAAAATGTTGAGGCTCTAGACATAATCGGTTTTTCTTTCTTCCTTTCGCATTCCTAATAAGGCAGTAGATAACACCTGAGCCCTGGGATAAAGATTAGGACCGTGGGAGCTGTGTTGACAAGTCTCCGCTCATGACTTTTAACCCAGTTGTTAATTCTGCCAACTGGGGCAACGTCAAGGTCGGAAGTCGGGGTCCACTAACAGGCGCTGGCAGTACTGACCTTTGCCCTAGTTTAGCCTAAAAAAAGAAGAGGAGAGAGGCGCTCGCAGCACCCCAGGTTTGGCCCGTCTCCTTCGCCCAAACTTATCCACCTTGCTCCATCTGTCCCCATCAGGAATTCTGTCTCACCAGGGCAGGACAGCTTGGCTAGCCGCACCAACATGTTCCAAGGAGCCCGGAGTCTTGCCCAAGACACAACGGAGAGAGAGGCCTGTCTGCGGCGGGCCGAGGGCGCTGGACTTCTAGGCCACGGGGGGCGCCATCACCTGCCAGGAAGCCCCGACTGCCTCGCTGAAGTCAGCCTCTGGGCTGTGCCGGTCGCCCTTGCTCCGCGGCGTGCCCGCCCCTCTTCTGCTTTGCGCCGGCGCCACGGAGGACCCGACGGCCAATAAGGTTTCTGGGTCACGCACAAGCAGGGAAAAGGCCGAAGACTCCATCTCCCAGCCATCCTCCTCATTCAGGAACCGAGTCTGCGGAAGAGGCCCACAAGCCCCGCCCCCTTCCCGCGGCGCGCACGCGCATAGACAACAAAGCCGGGATGAGTCGCTCGGCCTTCTGGGAGTTGTAGTGTTCGGCCCCAGCGTCCTGCGAGCCCGCCCGTGGTGTGGTCCCGAGTGGAGACCTAAGCGAAGATGGGGCGGGACCCCGAGGGGGAGGAGGCGGAGCCTGCGGGCTTTGGGCGCGAGCTGTTGAAAGGCCGTTGGTGCGGGTTCGGTTGCTCGGTGCGGCCCCGGCCGGCCCCATGGCTGACCCCGAGGAGATTCGGGCTTCGCCGCCGCCGCCGCCTCCCTCGTCTCCGTCTTCAGGCGCCTCTTCGTCGTCCCTCAGCACGCCGGTGCGTTTGGGCTGGCGGAGTTCGAGCCGAAGCCACGCCGCAGCGGTGGACCCCCTGGAGCAAGTGGAGCTGCAGATCGGGGACGTGAGTGTCGCCCGCCCCGGGAGCTGCTGGCAAAGCAGCCAGGGTGCTCCCGCTCGCGCTTCTCGGGCTCTCCTCCTAGCATCTCTCGGAGTGCCTTGGGCGCTGCTAGCCTCCCTGCCATTGGTACTTTCCGAGGGACTGGAGCTTGCTCTTCTCGTTGGCCACCAGCCCAGTGCCAGCTGGTGATGCTATTGTCTGTCGCCGACTGGTTCTGTGTTAGACTTGCGCGGACCAGAGCTAATCACCGCCGGCCGCTGAGATCATTGGCAGGATGCTTCCCTGATTCCTGCAACGCAAACGTTTTGTAAAGTTTTTGTACGGTCCCGAATTCCCAGACATCACCACCTTAGCTCAACGCGCATGCCGCTGAGGGGGTTGGAGCGTGTCAGTTTCACTTTCTAGAGACTCTGGAGAGGTAGAGCAGAATGAAGTAGGTGGCGGGTAACCTTCTTGAGAGACCATTGTGGAATAACAGCCCTGGAAACTGAGCGACAAGTTTTTTATTGTCTAAGTGCTGGTTCAGGGCTTATGTCTTTTTCCCAAAACAATACTGATTATAAGTAAATGTGTAGAATAAGTACCGAAGTCATATCCAAAAAAAGTGTTATTTTATATCTTTAGTGGAGAAAACACTTGATTTAAAAGGGAGTTTTTCATAGCTGTGTGTGTGATTCTAGATGTTTTCAGAGTGTCGGTCTTTGATTTCACATTTTTCTTTTTGTAGTCAAAAAAAAAAGTGTTCACAGATTAGTGGGACGGTGCTTTTGTTACCTAATTCTCGGCGGGAGTGGCTTATGGGGAAGTCCTTTAGATGGTTCTGTCACTTTTAGCCAAGGGGTTTCCAAGTAGTGTAGCTCAGGGGTAGAGCTTTGTGCCTCCTGTGCCCTGAGTCTTTGGGTTCAAGAAAGAGCAGTGTTTTTATTTGAAAATTCGTTTTGTTTTAAAAGAAAAACACGTCATTTGATTGGCTGTCTTAAGCTATTTTTAGACTATGACGTTAGATGAGAATTTAAAAAATAAGCACGTGTGGGGTTTGGGGTGTAACTCAGTGGTGGAGTTGAGCCTGAGTTGTCCCCGGGACTACAAACAAACCCGCTTGACTTTCCTTTCTTTAAATTGCAGGCAGCATTTTCATTAACGAAACTTCTTGAAGCCACATCTGCGGTATCAGCTCAGGTGGAGGAGCTTGCCCTGAAGTGTACAGAAAATGCACGCTTCCTGAAAACGTGGCGGGACCTCCTGAAAGAAGGCTATGATTCCTTGAAACCCGACAACTGACTTGCAGATGTGGTCGGGTAAGGAATGACTCACCGGTCAGATATTTGCACATGGACCACGTTTATGAGGCCGCCCGTCTCCAGGCATGCCAAGAACGGGTTTTCTTGGTATTCTTGACTTTGAGAAAGCAGAATACTGAAGGCCACTTTGTTTGTTTGTTTTCTCTCTTATGACAGTGTTGACCTTGAATACTTTTCTTCCCTCTACGCTTTTGTAGACTCTTTTATGAAAGCTGATTTCATCAGTAAATAATCGACTGTCTAGTGCCTCAGTGCGACCAGGTCATTATTTGTTTGTCGAGAAGATTCCCCAAAATGGCTGAGCTTGGAGTCCTTTTGTCCCCTAAGGCAGTCGATGAAGACTTTAGGTGGTGGTCCAGCTCCATGGGACCAGTGAGGGCGCCTTCTTTCCTTGTCAGTACCCGAAGCCACGTCACACAACCCTCAGTGCCTGTGACTGAGACTCAAGTGTCACTAGAAACACTTTTTGCTGACTGCTTTCTAGGATGAAGACTAATTGTTTCTCTATGAAAACCACCTGAGTCTAAACTTCATTGGCTTGAAGAAAAACATACTGTATTTTTTTTTGTGGGAAACTGAGTGTTCTTCTGACTTGAGACATTCTGGCTGTGAAGGCCAGGCTTCTGTCTCAGGCTCTTCAGTGGCAGGCAGGAGTACTGTAGGAACCCCATACCCAGGCTAGGGGGTCTGAGTCTTGATGATGACTTTTTAAGATATTTTTAAAAATATTTTTCCCATTCTATGATCCCATTTTAAAAAAGCTTTTACTTCATGAAATGAAAACTTTTATAGACTACATACTTTGGTCTATTTATTTTTATAGTTAGCTGCTTTTATAGCTAATATTTTTCTTATTGTTAGTGTTCTATATGTCCGATTGTTATCTTTGAAATACGTTACCAAATTTATGGCCGTTTGCTATTAATAGAGCTTTGCAAGTTATTTGCATTATTTTAAAGTTAGTTTGTTTCCAGTGTATCCATTTAACTGGTTCAATGCATTTCATATCAGTTGCCCTTGCTGTTGGGTTTGAATTCACCTACACTGTATTTTATGTAATTTGTGCCGTCTTTCATCAAGCCGTGTACCACGTTGATGCATAGGAGCTTTAAGTATCTTTTATGTGGTGTCTCTGTAGATATGTCTATGTGAACAGAACTGTATTCTAAAGTCTCACAGTGGCGCTGTGATAGGGGACACACGGATGGGCAAAGACTAGTTTTGACATAGTCATAGTTAATTTTTTTTGTTTGTCTTTTAGTTAAGTTCACACAACACGTATGGTGTGATTTCTGTACCAAAGAGATGCTTATTCCCGTATGAGAGAAATACGAATTGTAATCTGAAAATTGCAGTTTAAAAATGTATAAAAATAAATGTGTTACAAGTAAATTTCTGTTTCCTTGGTCATTATTTAAAACTTTCTGAGGTAGCTCAGCCATACAGAAAAGGTGAATGATTTAAATAATTTCCGTGCATTCCTACCATGCAGAGGTAATATTTGCATTTTTTTAGCCCCCTCCCCCTCCCATGTTAGAACCACTGGAAATGTGTTTTGCTACGTCTTATACCCATCCCCTTGTCTTTCTTCCTATAGCCATGGCCTTAGAAGTGTTCATTTTTTGTTACTTTGTGATTACATGGTTTAAATAATTGCTTATTTGTATCCCCGGCTACCCCACGTCAAGCTGAGAATTGAGCCAGAACCTTGTGTATGCTTTGTGTTTTTATATTTTCCTTATGTGCTGGCTAGGCTATGTCACCATGAAAGGAGGGAACCTGAGTTGAGAAAACACCTCCGTAAGATCCAGCTACAAGGCATTTTTTTATTAGTGATGATGTGGGAGGGCCCAGCCCATTGCAGGTGGTGTCATCCCTGGTCCTGAGTTCTGTGAGAAAAGCAGGCAGTACAAGCCAGAAAGCAGCCTCGGCATCAGCTCCTGCCTTGCCGTTTCTGCCTTGTTTAAGATCCTGTTCTGACTTCCTTCAGTGATGAACAGATTGATATGAAAATGTAAGTCAAATGAACCCTTTCCTCCCCAGTTGGCTTTTTGATCATGGTGTTTCGACACAGCAGTAGAAACCCTAATGAAGACACCATACCACAGGTATTTTAGTTTTCGAGGCAAGGTGTTCAAAGCCTAGATGGAAGATGAAGTTGCTACAGAGACAAAAGTGACCTTGAATTCCTACGTGACCTCCACTTCCCAAATGCTGGGATTAAGAATTATCCTCTTCCATATATTTTTTGCTTTATTTTGTGAGAAAGTTTGAGGAGACTCATTTTCTTAAAGACCTAAGCTACTTCATGACTTGGCAAGTAGCTCTTCACAAACTTCAGGGGAAAACTTAGTTTTCTCATTGATGTGAAGTGAACCATGTGTCAGGCACTGTGTTAGAACTTTGGAGCATTGTTTTCTATAAACTCATCTGCTCTAAGGACAGTTGAAGGCGTAAGTCACAAACAATCCCTCACCAGTTTGGAATTATGATTAATAAAATGGTTATTTATTTAAATGGAAAAAACTTACAGATTACCGTCGCAGACAACAGCCTTGTGTGCGAGAGCGAACGTTCTGCCACCGCTGCTTTCTAAAAACAAAAGAGGCCACGCCTGAGTGGGCTGGTATCTTAAAGGCTATTGGCTGAAGCAGTGGAAGGAGCTCCCGCAGCAGACAGTGGTATAAGTCACAGAGCCGGAGATAGAAGCTGAGATGGAAACAATTTCCCAGGGCTGGAGAGACGGCTCAGTGGTTAAGAACACTTGCTGCTCTTGCAGAGGACCCAGGTTCGGTTCCTGGCACCCTCAGGGTGGTTCTGGTTCTGGGCGACCTGACACCCTCTTCTGGCCTCTTTGGGCAAGGTGAGCACTCTTCCTCAGGAATCTTAAAATCCTCAATATCCTATGACATCTATTTATTAATACTTGCTTGTACTATACCTTCTGCCTAGAAGCTTCCAGAGATGTTAAAGTTCAGGGCTGTCCTCTCTTAATAGGTGGTGATGCCACAGGTGCCCAGATAGTTGGTTCAACATTCTGTTTTTTCAGTGAGAGGATGGATAAGGTTGAGGGTTAGTTCTCTTCCCGTGTGTGTGTGTGTGTGTGTGTGTGTGTGTGTGTGTGTGTGAAGCAGGATTCAAACCTAGGGTCTTGCATGTTACTCACCCCAGCCCTTGAAATTGTTGTTTGTTTGTTTGTTTATAATAGGGTCTCGTATCCCAGGGTAGCTTCAATTCTGTAAATGTCTATGGCTGGTCATGGACTCCTGACCCCGCTTCTGCCCCCCAAGTGCTTGTATACCAGGTGGAGGTAGATTTTTACAGAGGAAGCAAGTCATATTCTAGTTAAGGTGGCCATCCTCATCCACACAGGAGATGGGCAAATAGAGAAGGTCCTCAAGACAGAGTTCTGTCAGCCTTTGGATTGGACGCTGATGACTGCTGATTTTGCAATAATCTGTCAGTCTTCAGACTTGAACTGATACACCATCTCTGTAGACCTCTGGGTGCTGACTTTCAGAATTACCTGAGTCTTTGTAATTATCTCTTACATGTATATGTGTTTATCCATGTATGCATATACATGTCTGTAGAGAACAAAATTGCTATCTAAATGTAATGCTAATATCTTTATAACATGCAACATCCCCCACCCTGATACTTTTTTTTTTTGAGAAGTTTAAAAATCTATGATGATGAGCTGATAGATTGGAACTGAAGGTACAGCCATCATGTTAGAAGGTTATTGCAAATGTCCAAGTGAAACATGAACTAAGGCCCTGGGTGTTGGGTCGAAGAAACCCTCATGAGGTAGAATCAAGAAAATTTACTGGCTCCATTCTGCATAAGAAAAGATGGAATCCAAAGCAATTAAGTTATGGTGGCAGTGGCTGTGGTGGCAGCTGTGGTGGTGGTGTGTGCACATGGGCTGCTCACGCAGACCAGGGCTTTTTTGCCACCTCCCCCAGCCCCGAGGGCTCCTGTCCTCTTTTCCTCATGGGGATGTCATCTTTCTCCAGCATCAGAGCCTTGTATCCAAATGGGTGCGAATCTGAATTTCCCAGGCTTCCTGTCCATCTGCTGTGAAAAGCCTGGTACTAGGTAATGGGATCTCTGGGCTGAAGTCTGCTTTTTTTCCCCAGATCCACCGATTGCTGGGAAGCTAAGAGTTTGCTTTCACACTTGTCGCTCTGACCTTAGTTCTGAAAGAGAAACTGAGGACCATAAGAGGCTTGTTTCTTTTTCTCCCGTTCATATACTCTGACTCACCAGACCTCAAAATGGGCACTGATATTGCCAGCCTGTCAATCCTTGTCCTGACTGCCTTTAGCAGCTGTCGGAGACCTAAAACAGCGCCATGGCAAACGCTCTGGGAGTCTTAACACTGCAGGCCTCCTTTCTTGTCTCCTTTGGGCCTGTTTTGCTCTAATGCTTGATGAGCTGAGATTAACTTTAGGGACATCTGTGACAACCCTATTAAAGATTGTCTTTATTGGAGCTGGAGAGATGGTTCAGAGGTTAAGAGCAGTGACTGCTCTTCCAGAGGTCCTGAGTTCAAGTCCCAGCAACCACATGGTGGCTCCCAACCATCTATGAAATCTGGTGCCCTCTTCTGACCTGCAGGTGTACATGCAGGACAGAACACTGTATACATAATAAATAAAATGTTAAAAAAAAGACTGTCTTTATGCTCATGGCCCTTCCCCCACAACCCCCTCTAACCTGTTATTATAAATAATTTAGCTCTTCCAGATATCCTTCAGGAAGTGAATCCACTCAAGAACCTGAGTGTTAGCACACCTTCCTCTGGTTGATTCTACTTCTTACGGCTCTCACTCTTCTCAGTAAACATAGACACTCATTTCCTCCGGATTCAACAAATCCAACCACAAAAGGCCTTACAATGAGGGAAACCTTGTCTTTCTGATGTGCAAATTCAAATACAAGCCTCCAACCTAAAGACTACCCACCTCCTGACTACCAATCACAGAACTGGCGACCTAGCCCCAAAATACCCGAATCAGTCATGATGGGGAAGCTTGGTTAACCAATTATTTTTAAGAGGTGGGACCAAGTTAGGATGGGGCTTGCTGGGACCCAGGTGCACTCTCTGTGTGGTTCCCTTGTGGCACAGCTGAGCTTGGACTTCTCGTTCCTGTTTTTGTGAGTTTTCCCCTTATAATAAATAAAAATAAAACTGTTTTATCTTCTAGCTAGCCTGGCTATTTCCTGAATCGAGCTAATTTCTACACAGTCAGAAGTAGCTAAGTTGATTTTATTAGAGCCATAGCTTCCACCCACCTGTCTATAAAATCATCCCTCTGCTTCAGCTATATCTATATCTCTTTCTATATATAGATGCAGACACAGATAGAGATATAGATGGGGGTGGCAGGAAATTCAGGCTGTAGGCAGGGAAGAAACACACTCAGCCCCCTTGCTGAGGGGGCTTCAGTAGGAATCAAGACCGCATGACTACTGTCTCATTGCTTGGATAACTGGTCAACCAAGTTCCACTTCCTTATACAGAGACTGAGTGATCCCTGTCATATACTCTTGGCTCTTCTGCCTCTGACGCGTTGCATAGGTCAAGTGTCCACTAAGTCGGCTTGCTAGTGCCAGACCTCCCTTCCCTTTAAGAATAGAGACTTTGCCTGATGACACTGGAGTTTCTTGCTTCAGACTCAGCTGTGGCATTGCATCTGCCTAAAGGAAGTCCTACTTGGTGTCTCTCTGTCTTGAGCCCCTTCTTTTTCTCCCTTTCTCAAGTCTAATCGACTGGAGAAGAAAAACGAATTAACAAGTTATATGGGATGAACTGGCTGTGCGCACTAGGTGAAGCCACCTCTTCATGACAGTAATATCTCCTTGATACTCGCTACACCTTCCTAAAGTAGGGTACCTAAACCAGTGACTTTCTTGTCTTTACATTGCTCTGCTAAGATATAACACATTATAAAACCAACCCTAAATCTCGCACACATTTTAGGTTGTTTAAGCCCAGGAATATACATTCAGTGCCCCTGCTGCCCCTGCCATAGTGCTCTCTAAGTTATAGTCCATCCCTAGAAGTCGGACCTCTCAGTGTTTGTCTCTTCATCTCTGACTTCCATTGCATCTTCGTGTTATGGCATTTTATCACAATCCAATTTCTCTCCATGGCAGAATAATATTCTGTTGTATGTATATATTTAGTACTTTGTTTTTCATTATTTGTTCACACCTGGATTTTCATATTTTGGATTTTATGTCTGTGTCCTGTCTTCAGCGCCTATGGGAGTGTCTCTCACAGTGGAATAGCTATCACATGGTAGCTTAATTTGTGTTCCGACGAAAGGCCAAATTTTCCCACAGTGGTTGCCATTTTGTATACATTTGTGTGTGTGTGTGTGTGTGTGTGTGTGTGTGTGTGTGAGAGAGAGAGAGAGAGAGAGAGAGAGAGAGAGTTTGTTCACATGAGTGCCATGTCCAAGGAAGCCAGAAGAGAGAGGGTGTCAGATCCTCTGGACCTGGACTTACAGGTCGTTGTGAGCTGACCAATGAGAGTACCTGGAGTGAAATTTGGGTCCTCTGGAACAGTAACAAGAGTTTTAATCTTCTCCCAACCCAGTTCACCTCCTTGATGTCCAAAGGTCTGAACTGAGATAAAGCCATTTCTCCTCTTTTGTTGGTCTCATTTTGCGTCATTAAGAATCCATAGCAAAATCTAAAAATCTCAAAGAATTACGCTGTGTTTTCTTCAAAGAGCTTTGGAAGTTACTTTAGGGTTCACATGCCCAATAGTGAGTATAGACGGCATCTTCACACACATGTACACTTGTTCTCATTTCTTCCCCACACTGCCAGCCTTCATGCCTCTAACTCCACAAAGTACTACCCCTTCTTCCCCAGCTCTCTTCCCTGACCCTTACTCAATATTTCTTCCCTCTCACGGTTCCTTTTGTAGTTTCATTCACGTACGTGCCCACACTCACACATACACACACGCGTGCACACTCATGTGAGAGGAAACATACTATTTACCATTTGAGTCTGGCTTATTTCATTTAACATATACATAATGGAACTTTATTCAGTCATTAAGAAAGAAATGACATTTTCAGAAAATTGGATGTAACTGGAGATTTCCACACTAAGAGATAGAATGCAAAATGAATCCAAAACCAGAAGTATTTCTATGTACCCATGATGATCTTGCTTCAATTCAAATGAAGTTTCTTATTGATATAGAGGAAGGATACTGAAGTTTTTGTAAATATGTAAATTCTCTTTTTCTTTCAACGAATATCGAGGCTCTTTCCTTTTTTTCCTTTCCTTCTTTTTTTTTTTTGATGAACAGAATTAATAATAAATGTGGGTACACAAGCATCTCAGGGATCTGTTAACACAGAGGGTACACCCATAAACTGATTTGTTGAAATCTAGGAGCTTTCTAGTAGAATCTTTTTAGGGTCTTTTAAGTGTAGCTTTGGGTTGTCTACAATAAGGATATATTAACTTTTCCCTCTCATATTTCTGTTCATTGTGTTTCTTTTTAGTCTTTCTCAAGCGAAGACTTTGAACAGTGTTTCGAGTAAGAATTATGCAACTGGGCGCTTGTAGAAAGCACAGTTTAAAGAAGGCATGGGAGGAACCAGAACTGTTAAGCACATGGGCCTGTTTTCTTCAAAGGAAGACCATGGCTGAAGAACCTTCTACACTTGATCACCTGGGCGGCTGGAGTGGATGTTGTCTTGACTACCTGGTGATATTTCTGCTATTCTATGGAGTCAGTCTACCGGAATCTCTCTAAATCCTGGGCATTGTTTAGGTTTAATCCTGAGCTTTGTGTCTCAGTGACTAGAACCCATCCTTATGACAGAGGAACTATGTTCTTTGTATCCTCCTTCAATAGAATCCGTCCTTATGCTTATGACAAATCCTTCCTCCTCAGACCCCAGTCCTGAGCATTGTTTACCAGTCAACAGAACACATTGCAAAGATCACATGTGCTTTCCTACTTTGCTAGGGAGTCTCTATGAACCTGTGCCTCAAGCTTTGTTGTGATAACTGTCACATGGGAACCTCTTTCCAAAGTTTTACTGTGCCTAAATGTGTAAGAAAAATACACCACAAGGTAGACTCTGGAAGTTTTGTGCCAGTGCCTGAAAAATCGGTGCTGCCTCGACTTTCCCTCTTCATCTCAGGCAGGCGATTTTTCTGCTACCCGTGACACTTGTGTGGCCCCCAATAGGCACTCTTATCTCATTCCCTGCTGTAGAGGAAATTCTTTCATTCATTTCCCACTTAATTTGATCAGCTAAAGCTTTGTTTTCTATAAGCTTTATTATGCTGGCATTTGTTCCTCTATTCTTAGTTTCTATAAGGTTTTTATCATGAAGGATGTGGAATCTTGTCAAAGACCTTTTTTTTATGCGTCTCTTGAAATAATCATGTGAGATCTGCCCTTTTCTGCTTGTGTGTTATATTAGATTTATTGATTTGTGTGTATTGGCCCAACAAACTTGCATTCCTGGATCAAACAAACTTGGTGATGGTGTGTGATTTTCCCCAATCTGTTCTTGGCTTTGACTTGTGGGTGTTTACTGAGAGTCTTTGCATCTGTGCTTGCCTGGTAGTTTTTATTTGTTGTGCTTTTCTCTGGTTTGGGGCAGGGCTGTGCTGGGCTCATGGAGTGAGTTTGCTGCTGTGCCTTCACTTCCTGTCTGAGGAACAGTTGAGGGAGGAGCTTTTTTTAGAGTGTTGTTGGCTGGCTGTGGGTGTGAGTTGCTTATATATATATCTTCCTGATTTAATTTATTTTGTTTATACTCGTCACCCTTTTAAACAATCAGTTGGTTGAAACATGAAGGCTTATTCCTGGACTCAGAATTGGAGCTCATTGATTTAAACACCCTCATTCTCCCTTTTCTGGCTTACCCCTCTACAATATTTCCACCCACTGTCCTGTTTCCTCATGATGGTGCTCACTCAAAGAAAAGCCAAAAGAAAACTGGGAGAGATAAACTACTGGTTCTGAATTGATAACAAAGCTTGCCTGGCTCCTTCATCTCTGCGTATGTCTGTTGTGTCTGTACATACGTGTGTATGGGTGAACACACCTGTATGGAAGTCAGGCTGACATTAGGTGTCTTCCCGATAGCTGATCAACAAGCCTTGGGGATCCTGCCTCCCCAGCACTGGGATTATAGTATGCTCTACCACACCTGGCTTTTTTTTTTTTAATCTGGGTGCCAGGAATTCAAACTCAGGTCCCCGTGTGTGTGCAGTAAGCGCGTTAGCGATTGAGCCCTATCCCAGGCTCTACTTTTGCACGCCAGAGGCAGGGTCTTTCTAGGTTGCTGAGGTTGGCCTTGAACTTGTGCTCCTGCTTCTTCCTCTCTACTGTGAGGATCATGGGTTTGTTCACCACACCTGGCAGCAAAGCTTCCTTTGAATAAATATGTTGTGTTGACTCTCAAGCATGGAGACTCAGAGAACAATACAGAAGATTCTTTAGATAGAATGTTTCTGCTTTGCATATAACCGTATTTAATAATTTGTGTGTGAGTGTGATGTGCATGTGTGCACACACTTGCTATGTCGCACAGGTGGAGGTTAGAGGCCAAGTTTTCAGAGTCTATTCTCTCTTTCCAGCTTTACATGGGATCCAGATACTGAGCTCAGGTCAGCACGTGTGTAAAGTAATCACTTTTGTCCCCTGAGCGCCTCCGTGGCTCCACACATTTTATCCGATGCTGTTATCTTTGAGTACCAGTTTTAAAATGTCTATGGGCTTCACGCTTGCTGATATGCACAGCAGAGAAATCTAGGAGCTGTGGGTAGAATTTGTGTCGTTAGCAGTTAAACACAATATGTAGATTAAAGAGGCTTTATATTGTGTGTGTCCAGCACTTTACCTCCATGCAGTGTGCATAAACGCATGCTAGAAAAAGAGTCACCTTTGTCTCCTATGCAAATATGTACGAGTATCCGTGCACATGGTATCAGTGAGATGCTTCTCTTTGTATGAACACCAGCTACCTTTCCCTGCCTTGCGTCACTGTATGTGAACTTGTCTTAACCATAAGTTATACATTTTGTGGCATTTACTTCATATCAGCAAGTCCCTCCAGATGCACTTCACAGTATTCTCTGAGAAGAAATGGTTCCCCGAACCAGCTATGAATAAGAATTGAGTCTAGATGACTGAGAAACTAGTGACAGATCGCAGGGGTCTGTGAAAACCGCTGGCTTCAGGAATTCAGTGGGCATCTCTTGCACGGGCCACATCTCCACCCAGATGAATGAGGGAGCAAATGCCTTTGGAGTCTCCTTTCTATCCATAGACCTTCTTTGTCTGTAATTGTACCAGAGCTGATGGATCATTTCCTTGAAAGGTCTGGTGGTCAACGTGTAGATGATTGGGTTCAAAGCGCTGTTGATGGGCAGAATAAAAATCACTACCCAAGAGGTGATAGTGTCTGGAAGAGAAAAAGTGGAAAAATATCTGAGTGTTCATAGATGGCACAGGCTTCTCTTGTGTCTCCCATCTTCAGCCCCCCTTTTCTTTTTTAAAGACCAAGTCTCTGGTTTTTTCAGGATGTCTTTCTGGAGTGTCAGTGTTTAAAGGCATGAACGCCAGTGCTGTGAAGGCATGGGGTTCTTTCTGAGTGTTTTTTCCTGACTACACTGAAGTGCCACCAAAAGAGCTCTATTGGGAGTGTTTACACGAAGTCACAACGTATCATTATTAATCCATTTAAAGAAAAACCATATTCTTTACCATTTATCACTCTTTATATATATAATTTCTTGAGACAGGGTTCCTCTCTGCAATGGTTCTGGCTGTACTAGAATTCATTGATGACCAGGCTGGCCTTGAACTCACAGAGTTCCACCTGCCTCTGCCTCCTGAGTGCTGGAATTAAAGGCGTGTGCCACTATGGCCCGGTTGTTGCAAATGTTTTGATTAATAGGAAGTATGTGGGACCCAGGGTAGCCTGGCCACACATGGGGCCCAGGCCACACACCTGCCATGGCAGGCAGCACTGGCTTCCAGGAAAAGTCATAAGCTGACACCACCCAGGGAGGGCCAGTAGCTAAGGGTCCAACCGTTAGATAAGATTAGATAAAATCACCAGATGTCCCTGAGCCCAGGACAAATGTCAGCCAGTCAGGGTCCTAAACCCTGGAAATCCCCTCACTTCAACCTCTACTATGATAAAAACTCTATCCTGACTGGGCTGGACACTCTCTGCTCTCAACGGCTGCAAGGGACAGGTGGAGGGCCCAAGCTTAAGCCTGGTTGACTAAAGGCTCTTTGCTTTTTTTTTTTTAAACTTTATTTATTTATTATGTATACAGTGTTCTGTCTGCGTGTATGCCTGCAGGCCAGAAGAGGGCGCCAGATCTCATTACAGATAGTTGTGAGCCACCATGTCGTTTCTGGGAATTGAACTCAGGACCTCTGGAAGAATAGCCAGTGCTCTTAACCCCTGAGCCATGTCTCCAACCGAAGGCTCTTTGCTTTTACAGGTGAGTGCAGACTCTGTGGTGGGTTTTTGGGACCCTGCAATCTGGGCATAACAAGCACATGTAGAATTACTCATACTATGTACATTCGTCTTGAATGAATTTTTTTTTTGTGTGATTTATTTGATTTTCTTCTGCTTCTCTTGGTGGCACCGCTAGGGATGGAATCTAGTGCTCTGTACACGCTAGGCAAGTACTCAACTGCTCCCAGACCTGTTTGTTTTAAAGATCGGCTCGCGTTTTAAGGCTTGCACACACACGCGTTGTGTTTGTGTGTGTGTGTGTGTGAGATATATGCAGGTATATGTACACATGTGTGTTCATGCATGTGGAGGCCAGAGATCAATGTCAGGTGTCTTTTTTTTTTTAAATTGTTCCCCACATTATTTTTTGAGATGGGACCTTGTAGTGAACTCACCTACTGAGCTAAGCTGGCTGACCAATGAACTCCTGGGATTCCCTTTCTTTGCCTCCTCCCAGCCCTGGGGATCTAGATGTGTGAGCTCCTGGGATTCCCTTTCTTTGCTTCCTCCTCCCAGCCCTGGGGTTCCAGATGTGTGAGCTCCTGGGGTTCCCTTTCTTTGCCTCCCCTCCCAGCCCTGGGTCTAGATGTGTGAGCTCCTGGGATTCCCTTTCTTTGCCTCCTCCTCCCAGCCCTGGGGTTCTAGATGTGTGAGCTCCTGCACACTGTGCTTTTTATGTGGTTGCTGGGGAACCTATACGTCTACTTGTGTGACAAGTATTTTATAAACCGAGCCATCTCCCCAGCCCGTAACATTTTTAGACTTTAAACCAAATGTTTGCTTCAGTGAAATGTCTTTGAGTAAGACAGTGCCAGGCCTAAAAGTCCAGCGAATAAAAGGCTGAGACAAGAGGATGTCAAGTGTATGGCCATTCTGGCCTAAAGAATGAATGAGGCACCTTAACAAGACTGTGCCTCAAAATAAGAAGTGGGAAAAGGGTCTGGGGATATAGTTGGGTGGTGGAGTACTTGCCCAGTATCATAAGGCCCTAGGTTCGATCTCTAGTACCACAAACCTAAAGTAAAGCAAAATAAAAGAAAAACAAAATCCCCAAACGTATTTGACTAAATCCATCTTTTTTTGAGGATTAAATTTAACCCGTATGTGTTTGTTCTGTCAGCGTACATCCCACATGTGTGTGGGTTCCCGAGGAGGTCAGAAGAGGGTGTCAGACGCCTGGGAGTTGGGGTTACAGGTGGTTGTAAGCCTCCCCATGTTGTGGGCACTGGGAACTGAACTCCCGCCCCCTGGGGAAGAACAGTGAATTCTCTGTGTGCGGAGGTGAGCGTCTCTACAACACTCTCAGCTCATCTTAAAAATCAGCTTTGCATATGGAGAGCTACCAAATCCTCGGGCTTTTGTTACAATGTAGTTGGTGCTATTGTCTCTCTCATTCTTCATAACATGTCAGATTCTATTACCATCACCTGTGGGATCAGACAAGGCTAAGTTATGCATATGTAAATGTAAAATGTAAATATACGCCCCACTATATATGCAGCCAGCAGGGGATACTTGCCTATTTTTTTTTGTGATAAAACATGCACGACATAAATTTGCACCTTAACTTTTTTTTTAATTGCAGTTCTGTGGCAGTGAGTACATCTACAGTGTTGAGCATCGTCGCTTCTGCCTGTCTCAGAATGTTCTCTTTTCCCACGACACCTCCCCTTCTTCCCCTCCCAACCCCCATGTTCTGTCTATGAAACTGACTATTCCAAGAGTCTTGTGTAAGACGAATCACAAAACTCTTGCTCCTTTTGTGTCAAGGTTATCTACTCAACCTAACCCCTTCAAGATTCATGTCTCACATAGTACGTGCCAGAATCTCCTTCTCAGGGATGACAAGGATACTCAGCGAGTCAAGATTCATGCCAACGAGCCCGACAGCCTGGGTTTGATGCTCAGGATACTCATGGTGAAAAGGGAGAACTGACTCCGGCAGATTGTCCCCTGGCTTCCACGTGTGTGTTATAGAGCAAGTGTGTGTGCACATATGCATACACATACACATGCAAAATAAATAAATGTAAAAAAATTTAAAAGTTCCTTCCTTTATACACCTGAGTAATGATCCGTGTGCATTTTTGGATACATCCATGTGTCTGTAGACACTGTACTGCTTCTCCCTCTTGGCTGCTGTGACTGACGCTGCCGTGAACGCAGGTGTGCGAATATCTATTTTAGTGTTGGCTTTCAGTTCCCTTGGACATTTGTTGAGAAGTGGAATGGCTGGGCTGCCTGGCGATTCTATATCTAAGATTTGGCGGTTGCCAGCACACCTTCCTCTGCAGCTACACTGTGTTCCGATTCCGCTATCAGCGCACCAAGTGTCACTTCTCTTCTCACCAACATATTCATATTCATCTTTTCTCTCTCTGAACATAGCAGTCACTGTGACACATGCAATGTACATTATTTTAAAACCCTGTCTCGTTCTCTATTATGTCATGCCCTGGTGCGGTGTTCCCTAGCATAGGAGGTAGGGAGGAGCATCTATTGTGTTCTTAAAAGATGAATTCACGGTGTAGTAACTCCTTCAGCTTGTTTTTCTTCATGGTTTTCTTAAACAGGCCTACCATTTTGTTTGGTCACCGTACTTTGTCTGTTGTGGCACTTAGCATTCCTGGAAAGGACCGAACAGTCCCCATCAGTAAACATTTCCTTGATGGTGGAACCAGAGTCCACATTACTCTGACTGGTAATTTAAAAAACAAAACAAAACTTCATTTTTATTTTATGTGCATCAGTGTTTTGCCTGCATGTCTGTGTGAGGGTGCTGGATCCCCTGGAACTGGAATTACAGACAGGTGTGAGCTTCCATGTGGGTGCTGGGAGTTGAATCTGGGTCCTCTGGAAGAACGGTCAGTGCTCCCAACTGCTGAGCCATCCAGGCCCTGGCTGGGAATTCTTGAAGTGAGTTAGTATTAAGCGTGTTGGTCGTTAGCCCCACACAGATTTATCCTTTCCAGGAAAAGCTTGTACCTGGGATTTCCACCTGAAGCAGTGAAAGAAATTTCAGGATGAAGATGGGAATCCAGCACAGCGCGTCCGTAAAGACGATGAAGAAAAAGCGCTTGGCCAGGATCACCTCCCGCTTCACCTGCTTCTGGATCTCGGTCGCCGTGATGGCGCTCTGGTGGACACTGTAAAACATGCTGCCGTAGGAGAACACGATGATGACGAAAGCCACCAGGTTGATACCTGCGCAGACAGTGAACAACAGCGGTCATGCGTGTTAGCGTTCTCCTTGGAAGAACGGACAAAACAGGTCTGAGACTTCACTATTAAAGACTGCGGAGCCCATAAAGTGGTACTTAATTATTTACCCACTTCATTACTTGGTGACAGGGCCTTACTGTGGAGTTCAGGCTAGCCTTCAACCGGACTAGACTGCCTAGGGTAGATGCCAGCTCACAGTCCTGCTGCAGATTACAAATGTGTACCAGGTCTCCTTCCTAACCTCCATGTCCACTTCTACAGTCTCTTCCCCATTGCTGTCACAGACCATGCCCACATCTGCCTGTGTTCCCCAGAGACTCTGGGATCCTCTGGACCCAGCCTTCCTCCCATACCCCATCCCTCTGTGTCAGTCACCAATACCCAGAGACACACTCTCCCTGGGAACATGCTGGCCACTGAGGATCAGGTAGGCACTGATTCTCTCACTTTCCTTCTTATCCTTCAATTCCAGTTCCCCAGTCTCACCCCAGCTCTGCGGTAGACCACACCTATTCTTCCTCCCTGATTGCATCCTCCAGTCTCACCCCAGCTCTGTGGCAGACCGCGCTTGTCCTTCCTCTCTGATTGCACTCTCGGGACACTCCATCAGACCTTGCAACAGACCCAGCTCTCCTCCTTCTTGTAGACCCTTGTGGTCCCACCTCCCTTATCGCCCACCCCCATTCCTTCATGTCAGCTCCCAATACCTAGAAATACATTCAATCTGGAACTCCCAGTGGCCACACCTGACAGGGACTCAAAAGCACCCCCTCCCAGGCAACCCACAGCTACCATACTCTCTGAAGATCCAGAGAGGATAACAGAAGCAAGAATATTCAGCCTATCAAAGACAAGACCTGATGTCAGCACCTAAGTCATACTAACCCCAAACTTGCTGTGGGATAATGGTCTTGTACCCTGTCACTTGTATTATTTTATTAAAACGCTGATTGGCCAGTAGTCAGGCAGGAGGTATTGGCGGGGTGACCAGGCAGGAAGTAGAGGCAGGGCAACAAGAACAGGGGGATTCTGGGAAGAGGAAAAGGGTCAGTCTGCAGTCATCACCCAGACGCAGAGGAAGCAAGATGAGAATGTCTTGCTGATAAAGGTAGCCACATGGCTAACACAGACAAGAATAATGGGCTAATTTAAGATGTAAGAGTTAGTTAATAAGTAGCCTGAGCTAATATACCAACCAGTTTATAATTAATGCAGACCTCTGTGCATTTCTTTGGAACTTTACCACTGCAGAACCAGGCAGGACAGAAACTTCTGTCAACACAAACCCAGATGCCCAGATGCCAGTGCAAAAAAAAAAAAAAATCCACAGTAGTTAGTAGCCAAGACAACATGTCTCCACCAGAACCCAGGAACCCTACTCCAGTAGGTTCTGAAAAAGCTATATAGTTTCAGCCAAAACAAAGATTTCAAAATAGCTACAATGAATATGCTCAAGGACCCCAAAGAGGGCATAAATAAGTCTACCAGTAAAGTCTGTGAAAGCATAAGCGACTAGCGGAGACTCCAGAAGCCAGACAGGCAGAGATGGATGTTTTATAAACTCTAAGAGGTGACCACAGACGCCATCCCCAGATTACTATACCCAGCAAAACTTTCGATCACAATAGATGAAGAAAACACTTCACAATAAAAGCAAATTTATTTATCTACAAATCCACCTCTAGAGAAGGCACTAGAATGAAAACTTCAACCTGAAGAGTAACCACCCCTAAGAAAACACAGGAATAAATGATCCCAGACCAGCGAATCCAAAGACTGGAAAAATCTCACACCATAACATCAAGATAGCAGGAGTGAACAAACACTGCTCACTGATAGCTTTCAGCTTCAGTGGTCTCAATTCTCCCAATAAAAGATGCAGGCTAACAGACTGGATTAAAAAAAAACAAGATCCACCATTCTGCTGCATCCAGAAAACACACCTTAACATCAAGGATAGATATTGGCTCAATGTAAAGGATAGAAAAAGTTATTTCAAGCAAATAGACCTAAGAAGCAAGCTGCATGCAGAAGAATTCGAATAGATCTGTATTTATCATCCTGAATAAAGCTCACATATGGCCGAATATCCTGAATCTGATAGAAGAGAAAGTGGGAAATAGTTTTATCATAAAAAAAGATTGTTTTCACGGGCACTTCTAACAACAATTAATAAATATGACCTCATGAAACTGACAAGCTTCTGTATGGCAAAGGACACCACCATTCAGAAAAAATCAGTAGGGCACAGAATGGGAAAAGATTTTTATTAATGACACATTCTACATCTAACATATATAAAGAGCTAAAGAAAAAAACAAAAACTGGACATCAATCAAATAAACTAATTAAAAGTGGGGTACAGATTTAAAAAGACAATTCTTAAGAGGAGACACAAATGGCGCATGAACATTTAGAGGAGTGTTCACCAGTCATAGCCGTCAGGGAAAGGCAAATCAAAACTCCTTTGAAATTCCATCTGACACCAGTTGCAATAACCAAGATCCACAAAACACATGACAACTCACACTGGCTATGCTGGGAATCGCTCTCAGGACCTTTGGAAGAGCAGGCAGTGCTCTTAACTGCTCAGCTATCTCTCCAGCCCACGCCTAACTTTTAATAAGTCTTTTTTCTTATTTTTGGTTTGCTTCTCAGAATCACTAGGTACACAGAAGTCATGGATTCTTTTGACTCAGAAATATTTTTGAAGTAATGAAGCATGGTATGTTTAATTTTAATATAGCATATTAAATACATTTGACAAATATCATGGATCATTTGCTCTTTAATATTAATGGTTCTAATATTTTAAAAACTTTGTGCTGTACTTTGAGAATATTTTCATTTTTTGGTTTAGAACAGTTTCACATATATGCTGCAGTCAAAGTTATGCATGCCTGTACATAAAAATTTGAAAAATAGCAAATATCACTATGTTTATATTATTGGGGTAAATATATGAAATGTACTGAATGCATCAGATTGGAATTTAGTTGATAAAAGTGTCATTTGAGGGAAAGGAATTCTCCCTTGGTATTCTGATTCCAACTGCATTCACCCCTGCAGCCGCAGGTTGGAAGGACAGAACTTTGTAACAATAGAAGGCATAAATAAAGGAGTCCCCCGCTGTGAATGGCTCTGGCTAGGGCTGGAACACACAAAAGCTGGCAACGCAGGGTTTCTTACCAAGAAAAATCACCACGGAATAGATCTGGGCTCCAGTGCTTCCCGAGTCCTCTGAGTGAAGTGGAAAGCACACTCCGTTCGTGCCATAGTAGTTTCTGAAAAATTCCTTATTGCTGAGTGGAGCAAAAGCCACTATAAACCCAACAATCCAAATGAACGTCAGCACCGTGATTGTTCTGCATTTCCGAGGCCTGAGACACCGAAAAGGATACACGATGCAGATGTACTTTTCCAATGTTAGGAATGTTAAAAGCAGGACGGATACTTCCGTGGACAGAATGGCCAAAGACCCCATAAGCTGACAATGAGCGCTCTCCATCCACGGCTGGGCGTGTTGGTTATATTCGCCCCGAAACTTGAGGTCAAAGGCTCCGATCACGAATAAATATACTCCCATTAGGCAGTCAGCACCTACGAGAGTCCGAAGTTTACAGGTTCAGAGAAACACAAAGAATGCAAATCTTTACACGAAACACTTTAAACGATCTGGTTTCTTCTGTATTAAGAGGAGACACATTTTACTCTCCTAAGAATTCATAGGTTGGAGACGGGTGGTGGTGGCGCACGTCTTTAATCCCAGCACTCGGGAGGCAATGGCAGGCAGATCTCTGTGTGTATGAGGCCATCCTGGTCTGCAAGAGCTAGTTTCTGGATAGGCTCCAAAGCTAAAGAGAAACCATGTCTGGAAAAAACAAACAAACAAACAAACAACAACAACAAAACAAACAAAAAAAACAAAAACAAAAACAAAAGACTTCATAGGTTAGTTATGTATCTTGGCAGCAGAGTGCTTGCTTAGCATGCATGAAGCCCTGGTTCCAGCACCTAGCACCAAGCAAATCCCTAATTTGGAGGAGGACCCATTAATCCATTCTCTTTGTAACCACTGCAGGGGCAGGAGAGGTGGCTGCTGACCTGCTTTCTAACTATAGTTTCCCTTCTCTCTAATCCTTCCAGTTCCTTCCTATTTCTCTCCTTTGGATCCACTCCCTGTCTGTCTCTCATTAGAAAAGAACAGGCTTCTAAGAGATAACACCAAACATGATGAAATAAAACACAATAAGATGAAGCAAAAACTATCCTATGGAGCTGGGTGGGTGGTGGTGGTTCAGATCTTTAATCCTAGCACCTGGGAGGCAAAGGCAGGTGGATCTCTAGGTTTGAGACCAGCCTTGTCTGTAGGGCAAGTTCCAAGACAGCCACTGAAGCTGGACATGGCAACCCAAGAGGAGGAAAAGAGTCCCAAGAGCAGGCTCAGGAGTCAGAGACCACTTGCTCTCCCAGTCAGGAGTCTCATAAAGATGCTAAGCTAACAGCGATAATACATACACAGAGGACCTGGTGTAGACCCGTGTAGACCCTGTGCTTGCTGCTGCAGTATGAGCTCCTATGTGCCTTGCTTAGTTGATTCAGAGGGGAAGTTGCTGCTTTCATTTGTAGAGAAATTGCTCAGTTCAGATTTTTTTTAATGAAAAGATTTATTTATTCTGTATGTGTGTGTCCTTATGAAGTAACCACTCTTAACTACTCAGCCATTTCTCTAGCCCCTAAGCTTTCTCAGCTTTAAAACTAATTTTTTATGACTAAAGTGATCTATTTTTTTATGTAGAAAAGGCAGAAATACCATATAAACAAAAAGAAGGAAGATTTTAAATCTCATCTTTGTAACACTCACAGAACTTTTCTTTCTGAAATTGTTTTAAGATTTATTTTTCATATATATATGAAATATATATATATATGCATGTTTTCTTTCTTTCTTTCTTTCTTTCTTTCTTTCTTTCTTTCTTTCTTTTTTTTTTTCGAGACAGTGTTTTTCTGTAGCTTTGGAGCCTTTCCTGGAACTAACTCTTGTAGACCAGGCTGGCCTTGAACTCACAGAGATCTGCCTGCCTCTGCCTTCCAAGTGCTGGGATTAAAGGCGTGCACCACCACCACCCAGTGGTCATATTTTCTTGCAGGTAAGAATGTGTATCATGCGGGTACCTGGTGCCAACAGAAGTCAGAAAGAGGACCCCCTGCAAGCGGAGGTATGAACAGTTGTATCTACCAAGTGGGTGCTGGGAACTGAACCTGGGTACTTTGTGAGAGCAATATATGCCCTTAACTACTGCTTCATCTCTCCGGCCTCTTTAGCTCCTCTCTCTCTTTTACAAGATTTTATTTTTATTATGCATGGGTACATCTGTGTTTGCATGTGGGTATGTGCACATGCTGTATTCACCCTTGGAGACCAGAGGTGTTGATGTCTCTGGAGCTGAAGTCACGAGCTGTTGTAAACCACCACATATGGATGCTGGACACCAGTTTGGGTCTTCTGGAGGAGCAGTGTGTGCTCACCACCAGTGAGCCGTCTCTTCAGTCCCACAGAATTTATTTTCTAGCAGCAATAGTTTTACACGTTTCAAGTGGAGCTCCTCTTTACCAGGGGATACTCACAGCAGAGAGAAATGATGGACATGGCATGCAGCTTGTTCTCAGACCTGATGTAGGGCCGCATACAAATGACAAAAATGTTTCCAAAGCAGGTAACTGCAGACACAACCCAGACAAAGACTCTCTGAATGATGTTTGCCAAGAGGTTCTCCAGAGACGAAATTCCATCCGTGTTGGGCTTACAGCTGCGCACGTGCGGTGCATAGCCACAGTACTGGAATCTCTTAAAATAGCTGACGTATAAAGAGAAGACAAAATTAGAGCACATGTTTAACATTAAGTTAAGCATCACTGATATTTGTTTTCAACATTTTCTCAGTGGAAAATGTGTTCATATAAGATTTAGTGGAATAGAAAACATTCCTTACTGGATTTCTCATGATTCTGAAGTTCAAAATTTAATTCTTAGTCACTTGACTTTACAGTAAAAGAATGTGTGGATAAGAACTGAAAGCAGGTGTAATGAATACATGTTAGACATGTCTTAGCATATGCATAATTGATTTGCTTGTGAACATGAGAAGCAATTTATCCAAAGATGCTTTCAGTGACTGTTTCCAGAATTTGGTCCTCATGAACACACGGTTATGGGAGTTTTTATAGACATAACTTAGGCACAGCTGATCTTACTGCTAGGCTCTTGGGTAAAAAAATCAAAAGCTTTCTCCTTGCTGCTTCCATAACTTTTTGTTATAGAAGTTATAACATAACATTACATCAACTTATTATCAATAACAGCTGAACATATCTAACACTCGCACTAGATTCTGAAACACAAGGAAGAATGAAACGTTTTCTTCTATAGATACCCACTTTGATAAAGACAGCATCTGGATAAACAAGAATCACTGTGTGTCAGATGCAATACAAACACCACTCCCTGGGTATCTTTTGGACATCAGAACTAAATGAACTCCACGAGATCAGCGGTAGTACCACCACAATAGGAGATAAATCTTCGATGGAGGAAAATTTAGTTGATGGGACATTTTCTACTAATTCTAATAGTAGATATTAGAATTCAGACTGGTAGGCAAAGAGGGGTGGCAAAAACCATAGAAAATATCTCTGCAGTATAAAAAGTTGCAGTAGTAAATGGTACAAGGCAGATGGTTATTTTGTGTCTTGCGGAAGGCAAGGTGGGTTGCTGGTGTGTCCATTTGCTTGTTGGATTTCTCTGTGAGCTGTGATGGCGTGGAGCAGAGTATACAGGAGATGTTTCTTCTTGTAAGTGTCTGGGGGTGAACTGCTTTCACGGAAAGAACTTCAGCAGATACTTGTTTGCTGGTTTAGCTGCTTAGCATAGACTCAGCTTTTAGCAACAGTGTCTTGATTTCTTCTGAGGGAAGTCATTCTCTAGCCTCAGGACCCACAGTGGACGTACAGTGGAGACCCTCCCCTAGCCCAGGGTAGGCAAATACCCTATAAGGAATCCTGAGCCTTGGTGCTGGAGTGTGAATGAATTATTTCCGTGTTTAGTCCAACTCTTGTTTTCATGATACCTGCCCAACTCAGGTTCCCCTTTTAGCTATTTCTCAGTTTTATAAGTTACACCAGTTTCTTTCAATCAATTCAGTTTTTCTGGGTCAGACTGTTTTGTCGTGAGCAAGCAAAGATGCTTATAAAAGCCTTGTCTCTGAGAAATCATGGGAACATGGACAATGTCCTGGGTTATTCGGGGTGAGCTCTCCTGTCTGCATCTCAGCTCACTGGAGGAGCGCTGAGATCATAGACACATGCCACTTGTTCTTCTACTTGGATCTGAACTCAGGAACTTTTACCTGCCTAGCCATTTCCTCAGCCCTATTTATAATTGATTTATATAACCTACACACATTCTTACTTCTTCATCTGGCAGCACTTACATAAAATGTACACATGACTGACTGGGGTAAGATCAGCGCCCGTGACTGGTATCGGAGATGAGCATGTCCTGGAAGACTGAGTAGACCCCTCTCACATTTGTGTTTCTTGGTATTTGAAAATTTTCCCATAAACTGTTATCAGAGTGTGGGAAACTCAAATCCATTCACCCAATGCCAAACTTTCAGAGTAAATCATTGACAACTGATGTCTGAGACCATTTAGCCTGCTGAGAAACCTCATAGCCTGGGAACAAAGAACATTTCCTTCCCGGTTCTCCACACTGGGGAGTTCAAGGTCAAGAACCGGCAGGTTAGGTGTCTGGTGACCTGCTGCTTCCTGAAACATTCTCACAGGGTGGATGGCGCAGAAGAGAGCCTTCCTTTCCTCCCTCCCTCTCTCCCTCCCTCCCTCCCTCCCTCTCTCCCTCCCTCCCTCCTTCCTTCCTTTCTTCCTTCCATTCTTCCTCCCTTCCTTCCCCTCCCCTCCTTCATTTCTCTCTTCCTTCCCCTTCCTTCCTCACTTCCTTCTTTTTTTCTCCCCCTTTCCTCCCTTCCTTCCTTCCTCCCTCCTTTCATCCTTCCTTCCTTCCTTCTTTCTTTTTTCTTTCCTAAAGTTTGATATTTTTAATTCTCTTATTTTCTCTTTTGCGTATACATTCATGGTAGAACCCTAAGGAGGGGAAGTTAGGAAGCCGTCCTCTAACCACCTCAGACACTTTGGCTACAGGCTCACATAGTTCTGGGCTCACGTGGGTGCTGTGAGCTCAGACCCTCAGGTCTTCATAACAGGTACTCTCCCCAACTGAGCTTTCTCCCCAGCGCGCCTCCTTCTCTCTGTTCCTTCTACCACTTGCTTGTCCTTCAAAACCAGAACTATGATGCTTCAGTCTTTCTCAAATTCATTTTGAGGCAGGGTCTCACTATGAAGCCCTATTTAGGTTAGAACTTGCCATATAGACCAAACTGACTCCAAACTCAGAGATCCGCCTGTCATCGCCAAGTGCTGGGATGGGAGGTGTGCACCACCACCCCTTTGTCTTCCATTCTGTTTTAGAGACACTAATGCTGTTCATGATGGCTCTACCCTCAGGGGCTAATCATTTTTTTCAAGACTTAGCCTTTTAATAATGCCATCACTCCGGGGTTAGCATTGTAACATACAGTTTGGAAGAGGGGCTTAAATACTAAGCATACAGAGGCAAATTAGTAGAAATTATTCATATTTTATTTGCATTTAGTATGGGTGTATTATCACAATACATGTGGGGACACAGATTAAAACGAAGGTGAATGACGAGCAAATGTCTACTTACATGTGAGAGAGATTCACGAGAGGCCTAAACATCCTCTGCTGGATATTTGTGATCTCAATTCCCTCTAGGCTGCTAAAAATACCAAGTAATGGCCAAGAGAACATAGGTTATCCACAGCGGAATAAAATAGTTCTTTTGTGAAGGACAATGCAGTCAAATGCTTTAGGTTGGCATCATTCTAAGTGACATGCTCACACTCAGCCTGCCTGAACTTCCCCAGGTAATAGACTTGTACAGCTTACTTTTAAAATATTCCCAGTTTATGATATACTGCCTAATGAATGCTAGCTAGTCAATAAATATTTGTAGAACAGGAGCATGCACATTATATTCTGGACTCCTTTAAATTTTTCTAATCCCTTTTAAGTCATACTTTTCCCCAGTGAAGTGCTATTTTACTGTAGAATAGTTAAATGAGATGAGCGAAGACTTCTCTTCTAAAGACCATTCTTGGCATTAATAGAATTTTGTCCTTTTTGTGTTGTGGGAGGCATGATTCACATAGTCTAGAAAATTCCATTTGAGGATAGGGATGCTAACCTTGGTCTTTAACTCGACACACTTAAGAAGAAGGAACCTCAGTTGAGGAAACTACCTCCATCATTTTGGCCAGTGGACATATCTGTGGGCATATCGCATTTTCTTGATTAATGGTTGATGGGGAGCCCACTGCGGGCGGTACCACCCCTCGGAAGATGGCTCTGGGCTGTGTTAGAAAGCCCGCAGTGAGAGTCAGGGAAGCAAGTCAGTAAGCGGCATTTCTCCATGGTTTCTGCTTTAAGCTCCGAGTTCCTCTCTGGCTTTCCTCAATGATGGACTGTAACTTATAAGCCAAATAAACCCTTTTCATGTTGTTTTTGGTGAGTGTTTTATTCCAAAAATGGGGCCGCAAACTAGGACATATACCTGTAGAAAATCTCAAGTACACAGAACTAATGGGGCCATGACTATATCCAATACACGCGAGATGTAAAGGCACACTTCAGTATCTCTGGGGGCAGAGATGTAGGGATTCATGATCGTTTAATTTTTAGTTTATTAACACTTGAGGTAGAAGTAATGTCTGTAGTCAATCAGCGATTCATATATTTTTGTGGAGCTGGAAATAAAACAATTAAAAGGCATAAGAGCATATATGCTATTTGTATTGAAGCAAAACTGTGTATGACTATACTTACAGAGACTTGAGTTTGGCAAGATAATCAAATTGATTTACTTGAATTTTCTGGATTGGATTATAGGAAATATTCCTGTTTAAAAAAAAAAGCAACGTCATTCCTAGAAATTGCTTGGTCCAAGAGAATTTATTTGTTGACTTTGAGTGAATTTGAAACACTTACCAAAAAAGTCTAGTACAGTTCAAAGTGTATTAAAGATTTAAACGTAAGACCTGAGCCTGCAGAGAAAGCACTCCCTGACTCTGGCCTGGCAGTGACTTCCAGAACTCAGACAACCAAAGCCTGGATGTGATTTCCAAATGCAGACAGCAAAGCCAACAACAGACAAAGAGGACACATTAAAGTCAAAAGCTTCTTCCCACCAGAAGAGAAGAGCACAGCAAGGAAGACACGATTGGCAAAGCTGTCTCTCTTTTCTCCACTGCTTCACTCTTTTCCAGGGACCACAAGCACACACTCTACCACTGAGCCAGATTTCCTCCCCTGCAAGTGTATCTCAGGGGATGGATTAATATCTACAAAGATATAAAGAACTCAAATCAATAGTAAAGAGACAAGTAACCCGATTGAGAAGAGTAAGACTCTGAGCTGACATTTCTCCAAGGAAGACGAACAAGTGGCCAGCAGATATATGAAGCACTTGGTTAGAAAATGCTAATTTACTTATTAGAGACAACATATGGCGGAGGATGAATTACATCTCACAAGATCTGACCTTGACTTTTGAGCTTCTGAACTTCACGAACAGTGAGCCACACAAAATTCTATTGTTTATAAATTAGCCAGGCTGTGGTAGCCTCCCAGACTAACAGAAAGTGGACTAGATCAACACCAGTGAAGAAGATGTTCTTGTTCGTGGCATTGGAAGACTCAGTCCATATCAAAGGTTATGAATTCATGTAAGGCATCAAAGGAGCCCAAACAGCAAAAGCAATCTTGAAAAAAAGAACCAGGAAGTCAGGGTTTGCACAGCCACCCACAGCTACGCAGACCAAAGGGACTGACTGCAGAGCCCAGGAACAACCCCACTCAGACATAATCAGATAACGTTTGACTCAGGTGCCAGAGGCATTCAACAGGAGAAGCACAATCTTTCTAACAGTGATGGGAAAATTGAATATCCTATGCAAAGGAATAGAAGTGGACCCTTCTGTGTTGTGAACTCAAATGGATCACATGCTTAAATAGAGAGCTACCAAACTAGAAGAAAACATAGGAAGAAAACTTCATTGTGTGGATTTGGAAGTGTCATGTATTTATTGTGACAAAGTATAGCCAATAAAGCAAAGGATTAAAAAGTGGCCGTGTATTAAAATTAAAGAAGACTACGTCAGAGGGACCTGCCACCCACAATAGCAGGAAAACACGAGTCTGTAGGGCTGAGCCCCAGGAAGGATGGAGACTAGAGCTCAAGTCTGTAGGGCTGAGCCCCAGGAAGGATGGAGACCAGAGCACAAGTCTGTAGGGCTGAGCCCCAGGAAGGATGGAGACCAGAGCTCAGCAGCTCGCATGGAAATGAAGGAAGAACTTGAATAGTTTTCCGCCCCCAAGAAGACAGACAGGTGAGCTCCCATTAGATCAGCCCCACCGTCTCATGTTCTCCCTCCTTCTGCTCCTCATTTGGGCCTTGGGAGCTCAGTCCAGTGCTCCAATGTGGGTCTCTGTCTCTATCTCCATCCATCGCCAGATGAAGCTTCTATGGTGATATCTAAGATATTCATCAGTGTGGCTATAGGATAGGGCCACTTCAGGCTCCCTCTCCTCAGTTGCCCAAGGATCCAGCCGGACTGGGACTGAAAATGCATGGGATCTAACCGGACTCTCTGAACCTGGCGGACAATGAGGGCTGACTGAGGAGAAGCCAAGGACAATGGCACTGGGTTTTGATCCTACTGCATGTACTGGCTTTGTGGGAGCCTAGTCTGTTTGGTTGCGCACCTTCCTGGACCTGGATGGAGCGGGGAGGACCTTGGACTTCCCACAGGGCAGGAAACCCTGACTGCTCTTTGGAATGGAGAGGGAGGGGGAGGGGAGTGAGGAAGGAGGCGGAAATTTTTTAATAATAATAATAATAAAAAAGACAAACAGGTGACCAAACATGTGGGAAAGAAGCTCAACATCACTGATATCAGAGCGACAAAAATCAGGTCCTCAAGGATGCTCAGCTGAGACGGCTGAGAGCCAGGAAAATGAAAGTAGCAGGTGCTGGGACTGCAGAATGAGGACCCTGTGCCCTGATGTAGGGATGGAGGATGGCACAGCTCTGACAGGAAGGAGAATTAAACAGAACAGAAGGGGAACGGCCGTGTGACCCAGCCCCCCAATAGCTAGGAGTGTATCGGTGGTTTCTGGATTATTATTTTCTCACTTTACAGCAGTGCAAAACAATATGCCTTTAGTGGAAGCTGTACTTTCAGGGGGGTGGTTAGTGCTACGGTGCTCGCATCCCTGAATTCCAGTACAGCAGTATCGAGGAAGGAAGGGAGAAAGGGATAAAGAAAAGATCCTATTTGATCTTTCCTTGGGATTGCAGTATGTGTTATGGTATATTGTGTGCTGCAGCTCCCAGCCAGCCATGGAAACACAGGAGTACAAAACTGATACTCTACAGTGGATTGGTTCCTATGTTACCATATTTGATAGGGTAGGTGCCTTAAATGAACTTTAAAAATAATAGTTCTGATTTATGATGCCTTCGTTGGGTATACTTAAGTTTGCTGTGAGCCGAGAAAGCACATAGAACCCGAATGACTGAGTGTAGGCATCCAGACACGAATTTGCACACAGGTGGAAGCAACCTAAGTGCCCACGCTCATGGCAGATGGTTGTACACAGTGTACGAGGTGCTAGTTCAGCTTTCAGAACAAAGGGAATTCTGACACATACTGCCACACTGATGCACCATGTTGGTCTGGTAAAGAGAAAGAAGCCAGTCACAAGATGGCAACTATGACACAGAGAGAGTGAGTACGATGGGGCTTGCCAGGACTGCGGTGGGATGAACGTGGTGTTGCTGCTGGATGGTTACAGGGTTTCAGCTCTGTACTCAGTGGAAAGCTAGGAGGAAGGATGTTGGTGAGAGCTGAACAGCAATATGGAAGATCCAGTGGTACAGAAACAGATGGAGGACTCAATTCTATGTATATTTTACCACAGTTAAAAAGTAAGATAAAGAAAGGAAGTGGGGGCTAGAAAGATGGCTCAGTGGTTAAGAGAACTGGCTGCTCTTCCAGAGGTTCTGAGTTCAATTCCCAGCAACCACATGGTGGCTCATAACCATCTGTAATGAGATCTGGCCCCCTTCTCTGGTGTGCGGGCATACATGGAGGCAGAATGTTGTATACATAATAAATAAATAAATCTTTTTTAAAAAAGAAAGGAAGTGGTAAGTTAATGTCTTACAATTGTGTCAGCTCCTTCAGACCCTTAAAGATGTTCGCTGGAAGGTTTTCAATCCGATTGCATCCCAAATCCCTAGGGAAACAATTGCAAGCAAATCATATGATGGTTTTCTGAAGACTTCATTCATTGGTAAAAAATTTATTAGAAAACCATTTGCAACTTTCCAACAATTCCATTCGTTACTTGTTTTAAATTTCAAGAAGTAAGTGTCGCCTTTTTGTGTGGATTGGAGTCACAGCCTCTCTCCTGCTCAGCGCGTGCCCTACCACTCCAAGTCCTGGGAGTTGAGAGGCTTCACAGAGGGAGTGGAATAGGGGCACACAACATTTTATCCTGAGCCAGGCATGGTTCAGCATTGGGAGGCAGAGGCAGGAGGATCAGAAGTTCATGGACATTTTCAATTATAACTGAGTGTGTGTAAAGCCAGCATGGGCTACCTGTGCTCCTCCTCCATTTCATGTTTCCTTGGAGACAGACCACTCATGGTATTTAACATGGCTCTGACATATTAATTTCATTTATGGACTGTATGATGTCCCTTCAGCCTCTCTCTTCCCTTTCTCCTTTTCTGTTTGAGAACATGACTTGAGGCCCTAGTTTTTCTTCTGCCCGGGTTCATTATGATGACCTCAAAGCATGCCATTTAAGGTTCAAATTGCCTTCAGAGAGATACACAGGCTTCTACTCTCTTGGGCAGGATGCACATGTGCAGAGGGGGTGCCTAACATGACGTCACCTCGGAGCTAAAAGGGGCTTTCAGCAACAGAAGCTGTGACATTTCTCCAGTGACAGATTTCATGAGAAAAACTGCAGCTTCTTCTAAACAAGAAAACGTCTCGGTGAGCTTGAATTAGGTGACTGAATTCAAACAGAAAATGTAACTTCTCCCACGCACCTCCAGGGGACAGACAGGAGGAAAGCTGAGTAGTCGCCCATGCCAGTTGGTTAATCAACTTTGAAGGGCAGAATGATTTATTTTTAGATTTTTTTTATTATTTTAAAAATTTTGTATGTGTCTGTGTGTGGCTAAGTGCACAAGTGTGGAAGAGCTTGAGGGATGAAGAGTATCAGATCTCTGGAGAGATGGTGTTATGGTCCTTGTAAGCCACCGACAGAGTCCTGGATACTGAACTGGGGTCCTTGGCAAGAGCAGGTACATGCTCTTAACCAACGAGCCATATCTCAAGCCCTGATCTAACTTATTTCAACTATTTATTTCATATTTTACTTTATGTTTACTTTTGTAAGCTATCTGAATTGTTTTGTGATCCATGTTACATATAAATACTGTTTGGAACGAGAAAATTAATATTTCTTAAATATATGAACATTATATGTATAAGTAATACAAAGTAAAATTGACAAAAACATTCTTAATGCATATTTAGTTAAACTTACAATTCATCTAGTTTCTGGAGGTGTGTAAATGCATGTTCATTTAAGTGATTAATTTTGTTTTTCCTCATTACCCTGAAAGTAAAAGGAAAAGTACGTGTTAACATGTCAACATAATGATCACATGGATTACTAAATATAACTCCTACAAAGATAATGAATATAGAGTGCATTTTTTATTTAAAATTTTTATACAGTTTATATACCAATCACAGTTCTTCCTTCCTCCCCACCTCCTTCTCCCTGCACCTCCTGCTCAACCCACTCTTCATTCACTCCTCGGAAAGGGTAAGACCACCTATGGGGAGTCAACAAAGCCTGGCACATTAAGTTGAGGTAGGACCAAGCCTTCCCCACCCAACCCCCCACACATCAAAGCAGAGCAAGGCATCTCACCATAGGGAATGGGATCCAAAAAGCTCATGCATGAGGGATAGATCCTGGTCCCACTGCCAGACCAGATAGAGTGCATCCTCATGTCAGGATATTTTGATTAGTACGATATTATTTATTTCAAAAATGGTCTCAACTATGCGGTCCTGGCTGGCCTGAAACTCATGGTCTTTCTGCACCAATCTCTTGGGAGTTGCAATTACAGGTGTGTGCCGCTGCACCCAGCTTCAACTCAATTTTTATTCTTGAATTTCCTGAATGTCTTTTAACAGGGACAATATGTAATGGAATTTAAATTTGTAATTAGAAATGAAGAAGGGTTTTGAAAGGAATAGGGAAACGTCACCTCTCCTTAAGAAGAACTGGGTGCCATGCAGCTATGAGCACGGGAATTGTTTTAGACTTCCCTCCTCAGTCTGCAAAGTGTGTCTGTCTACAAAAGGCTCTGTGTACCACAGAGCTCTTGTTTGCTAGAGCATAGAATTAGGATGGAACTGCTTGAGAGAGAGTGGTCTGAAGGGACCAATTCAGTGTCTCTTTAGTTTGGAAACATGAGCCAGACTGTAGTGTAGGCTTGTGTGTGTGTGTGAGAGAGGGAGAGACAGAGAGAGATAAAGAGACAGGAGAGAGAGAGAGAGAGAGAGAGAGAGAGAGAGAGAGAGAGAGATTGAATCTAGGACCTCACACATGCTGTGCACTTGCTGTACTTTAGCTTCTCACCCTGTCCCTGTGTTCCCTCTTCACGATCTCTGTTAGTTGCCAGCATAAATTGCTAATTTGGGAAATTTCAAAGGGCTTATCGTTGTTTTAGAATCTACTCTTTTATTTAAAAACTTTTTAACTTAGTTTATAAAATAATGGGATTAATATATATATATATGCCTTAATACTTCATTTTTATTCATACCGTGACCCCTCTGTTGCCCTCCATCTCACCTGCCTTACTCTTGCTTGTTCCCTTTCTCTCCCCAAATGTTCCTTCAGTTTGCTTTGATGTGATTTGTGCACTCTTGCTGTCTTTGCTCTCCTCTCCAGCTTCCTTCTCCTCATGGTCCCCTTTCTACTTTCATAACATGTGCGCACACGCATGCACACACACATACACACACAGACACACTTCACAAATGCAAATTTGATTCCATTGATGAGAGAAAGCGTATAGTGTTTGCCTTTGAGTCTGGCTTATTTCACACGCAGAGACAAAGACGTCACACCTTCCTGCCTCCGCACACGCTCAGGTTGGGTTCTGCCCATAGACAAGATTCATGTGGTTTGTAAGGAGAGTCGATATTACTTTAAAAAATAGTACTTACAAAACAGTTAAATTATTACAGGAGATAAAAGTCAAATTTCTTAGATTATGGATATGGTTGCCTTCAAAGTCCCTAGAACATAAAAATAAAACACAAATTAAACCGTAGACAGAAATAAACTGCTAAAAATTATCTGCTACCTAAAAAGTATCTTTTCTTACATTCTGTTTAAAATTCTTTGTATAGAAGCTGAATTTACACATATACGATATATATATATATATATATATATATGTAATGTACATGTAGTATTGTTGTTTGTCTTCTGCACCAATAGTAAAAATGAGGTGGGGTCCTGGGTTCAATCCCCAGTACCAAGGAGTCACATCTTCTTCATGTGTCCACAATGACATGGATATTATTACTCCAAAAAATGGAAGAAAAGCAGTTCTTGTGGGAAGTGTCTAATTTGTGAATAAATATTGAGTAGTCAAGCATATTAAACACTTGTCATTGTCCAGAGGTGCAAGGTGCTTCCATAAGCAGAAATAAATTATTATTATATTAATAATTTATAATTATAATAGGATAGTATCTTAATAATTTAAAATTTAAATATAATTACATACTTTTACTCTTTCATTTCTTTCTCTAGTCTTTCCTGTCCTTCCTTCCTCCCTCTCAAATTCCTGACCTTTTTAATTATTATTTTTACATATATATGCATACATAAATAAACAAATATGACCTTTTGAATCTTTTAGTGTTGTTCGTTTATATGACTTCAGAGCTGACCACTTGGTATTTGGCAACCAATTAGATGCTCATCACTGGGAAGATTAATTCTCCCTCTTCCAGGAGTCATTAGTTGCCCGTACCTCTTTGTCACAGGGTGGATATCCCCCTTGGTGATATAGCCCCTTTTGACTTTAGCGTGTCTGTTAGTGTTATTATTGTTGGGGCTGTGCACACCACCATCAGCCGTTCTCTGCATTTTGACAGTCGTTTTCTGTGATGGTCTCCAGAAGATACTATTTAGTTCTGTCTCCGTAACTTAAATAGTCCTAGGAAAGATTCCCAACAGTTTGCCTATGTGTGTGTGTGTGTGTGTGTGTGTGTGTGTGTGCGCGCGCCGGATGGGGGAAGGCATCATCATTGCCATTTCAGATTGCTACAACAGCTGCCCTTGCTCTCTGATGGGGAAGCTCAACCAATCACATCTGGTTAGGGTGTGGACGCCAAGAGCCCAGGTAGAAAAACCGGGGTAGGTAGGTGCGCGCTCGCTCTACGCAGTGATCGCCGGACCGTTTTGGATTTCGGACCTCCCACTCTTGAAGCGTGGGTTCCCCCGTTTTTCAATTAAATTATATCTGTTGTTCTTGAGCTGGTCTGGTTATTTATCGTACCGACCGAATACGCCAACACGTACAGCCCTCCACTCTCAAGCAGGGGGCGCCACTAGGCATTCCCCTTGAGTGCTTGCGCTGTGTGGGGCTGTCATCTCAAGAACTCTAGTTGCAGCAATGAAAGGTACCTTTTTTATTTTGTGCACGGAGCATCAAGTGGAAAGCTTTGCATATAAGATGTTAGTGCCCTACCACTGAGTTGTGTCCCCAGCTGGAGTTGTCCTCACACGGCCCCTCTTCTTTGACCCCATCACTAGGTGCGTGGTAGAAGTTGGCAGAGCCGAAGGGGGTGATATACTGCCTTGGACACTGCCCCTGGGTCTAAGGGCATCACACACTTAGTGCAATGGTCGCCAGATGGCATGGAGTTACTCAGAAGCGAGAGTGATACATGCACAATACACGTGTGGAAGAACTCCCAAAACTGCCAAGGAAAAGTCAGAAAGCTCTAGAGAAAAGCCACAATCCACCAGTTCCACGGGGACTGCCAGCCTTGCTTTGGGAACTGCAAGCTTCCCAAACTGCAACCAAAGTTAACACTGACAGAGTGAAATATATCTGAAAGATTGAGGGAATTTTGGGAATTAATGGATCTAAAAATTGAGTCCGTTGAAGACGAAGGTGTAGTGAGGCTGGAGAGTAACCTAAGAGAAATGCATTTGAAGTCAGGCTGTAGAACGAACAGCAGACTGACCCTCTGGAGGCAGAGTCTTTGTTCAACGAAAGTGGCTGCTAATGCTTAGCGTCTTGCCTTGGTTCAGGCTTTCTGTTGGTTCTTAAATCAAATGTGTATTTTTATTTCTATTTATTTTATTTTTAACATTTAAAATTTTTTATTCATTTTTAAAAATTCCTTTTATTTTATGGCCAAGGGTTAATCATGAACCTACCACCAGGTGGCAGTGCACTCCGAAGAATCAACGAATACTCCAAGTGTTGGCCTGCAGCAGCTCCCATCTCTATAATCTCGGCACTGGGGAGACTGGGGCAGGAGGATACCCGTGAGTGAGTTCAAGGCCAGCCTGGGCTACATAATGAAACCTTGTTTTTACGAAAAAAATTAGTTTCAATTCACATTTGTTTGTGTGCACACGCATGCGTGTGTGCTTGGGATTCAACCCAGGATGCAGCGCACTAAGTAAACTCTCAGCCATTGAGCTCCCGCTCTGGTCTCACGAGGCCCACGGTTTTAATTGATTGCTTGTGGAAGTATCGCTCAGCTGTCTCTCATCACTAATTAAAACGGCCGTAGAGTATCCTGTTGAATCAGGCTTCAGTTACGAAGGTTTCTGATTTAGTTTTCCTTCTGGCTTCAGCTTGTTGTCCTCGTACAGAAAGAACTTTGCGCCAAGGTCCCTCAGACCTTAGAAATGCGTGTGAAATGCTTGCTTCCCCGGAGGGATTCTAAGTGAGCACAGGCCAAAGCTGTTTTGTTTCTTATCTGACTCCTTTCTCTGTGCTACAATTGGGTTGACAGCTGTCACTGCTCACAAACCCGGTGTTTTTTCATTATCTTCCTGTCCTTGTAATTTGACAGCTCTAGTTTGCTGTGAACTTGGATACCAATCAACTAACTTTTAAATATTTCTTATAAAACAAGATGTAGAAAGTTTTCCTGATTCTGGTAGGCAGTTTGTGGACTGAACTTTTAAGTAATAATTTTGGTGATTTCTTAATTTAAAACAGAACAAACACCTTTGGTCTATTGTTTTTTTCTATGGCCTCATTCCATACACCTCGCTGCCTTTGAACTTACGGTGCTTCTCCTTCCTTAGCCTCTTGTTTTATCCTCCTAAGGTTACAGGTGTGAGCCATCACGTCTGACCAAACCTATATTCTAAATAATCAAATTCACTGCTGACTGACCTCTCCCTAGTGGAGTGATAGTGATATTTATTACCAGGTGAAGCCACTGTGCCAAAAAAACTACAGAGGACCCATGAGGGACTCTCTTTCTTTTGTCCCCCATTTTCTCATGAATAGTGCTAAGAAACACATTCTCACTGCTCAGAATTTAGGGATTACATGAAAATGACTTAGCTTTCTTTGTCAACTTAATAGGTGAGTGATTTGACATCCGGAAAAGGAAGTGTGATGCCAACCACATGATCTCCTTTCTGTCTTCCTTCTTCCTGGCTCCAAATATATATATATCTTTCAGATATTGCATTTTGGTGAAAGTTTAGAGAAGTTAGCCAATGAGTATGTTTAATACAAAAATACAATAAAATAATGCAAGGAAACGATACACTAACCACCCGGCACAGAAGACCCCTGGTGTCTTAAGTAGTCAAATTCAGAATATGTAAAAATACGTATATAAGTAAATATATACGTATATTTACATACGTGTGTGTGTGTGTGTGTGTGTGTGTGTGTGTGTGTGTGTGAGAGAGAGAGAGAGAGAGAGAGAGAGAGAGAGAGAGAGAGAGAGAGACTTACAGCCAGTGTAGCCGGGGCATGTGCTGGCAGAGGGGTTTGTCAGGCAAACGGGTGAGGACGTTATCCATCAGCACTCTGGAAAGGAAAGAGATCACCATCATCACATTTTCTGGTTCTTTTCTATCTCTAGGCAAACACAGTTATGGTTACTTTTCAGAAGCTGCTAGACCCTCAAGCTACAAGTCTCCCCACCGCCTTCTCTCTACACACCCCAAAGTACTGAAGTGCTTTGGGAGTAAGAACATTTTTACACACTCCAGGTCTCACGCAGGGAGCAGCAATGCTAGTCTTTGACAAAGCCTGTGCCCATCAGCAGTGGGCTGTACAATGGCCGTGTGTGAGGCTTTTCCTTTGCGGGAGTTGCTGGGTGGGAGAGGCAGTGCTTAGGAGTACTCGAGCACAGCCCAACAGTCTGGCGCTCAGGCTGGTCGGGCAGGACTTTGTTACAAAATGGTCAGACCCATAAGCAGCCTTAGAGAATATAGGCAAGGTGGGTCTTAGTCAAGAGAGCCTCCTTTAGGATTTAATAATTGCAAATTTAATGCTACTATGCTTAAAGCCTTAATTATTTTCTTTCTGTCTCTTTTTCAATTGGAATAGTTTAAAATTTTTTGCTACATTGATTTACTTATTTATTGCTGTTTGTGCGTGCGTGCGTGCGTTTGCGCGCGCGCGCGCGCGTGTGTGTGCGTGTGCGTGTGTGTGTGTGTGTGCGTGTGTGTGTGTGTGTGCGTGTGTGTGTGTGTGTGTGTGTGTGTGTGTGCATGTATGCCAGTCTTCATGTAGAGCTGATAGCCAGCTGGAGTGTGTGTGTGTGCGTGTGTGTGTGTGTGCGTGTGTGTGTGTGTGTGTGCGCGTGTGTGTGCGTGTGTGTGTGTGTGCGTGTGTGTGTGTGTGTGTGTGTGTACATGTATGCCAGTCTTCATGTAGAGCTGATAGCCAGCTGGAGTTGGTCTTTCTACCCCTTAGGTCCGGGGAGTTGAACCAGGCTGCCAATGAGCCATCTCACTCACTGAGCCATCTGGCCTCCCTGTTTGTTTTGAATACTTACAAGAGAATGAGAGAATTCAGCCCATAAAATGTGAGTGGGGAGATTCGGTTGAGGTGATTGTCTTCGATTATCCTGTCGGCGGGAAGAGAGCAGAGTGACGCACGTATTTTCGGAACTTTAGAACTAATGCAAAAAATTGCCACCCAAAAGAGACGTACAGCCACTCCAGCCTGTGCAGTTCTTCGAACACTCCTGGCTTCAGGAAGGTTATTCTGTTATGGCTGAGATACCTGGGAAGGAGACACAACCACAATGAGTTTATTCTTTCTGATGCTTCGCGAGAAGGACGGTGGCGATTGTCATCACCCTTCCCGAGTCCCCTCCTACAGCACTCTCTTCCTGCCACTTCCAGCTTGGACGTCTAAGGGCCCTTGCCACTGACGGTGTCATTTCTCGCCTTTCATTTCCCATAGTTAGCTAAAGAATTGGCCTATGTTTCAATGACCTACTCTGCTGGGTAGGTTTCTGTGGGTCAAAGGCTTGGCTTCCAGGGGGCACTGTTGGAAGGGGCTGAGGACCTTTCGGGAGTAAGGCCCTGTGGGAATCCTCCGGTCACTGGGGATGTGCTTTTCTGTGGTACCCTTGAAGGATGTCTTTCTCTTCCTTACTTCCCAGCCCTGAAGAGGGTGAGTGCTCACCGGCTTGTGGTGCCTCAAACACAGGCTCAAAGTAATGGAGGCACTCAGTCGAGGGAGCTGGTACCCAAGGCCACTCGCCTGGCAAGCGAATTCATGGCTCAGCCTGAACACACTGACACCCCCATCCCATGCTCCCAGCCCTCACTACACTGTCCCTTCTGCACTACTTGCACATCCTTGGCACCATCCTCGAGCAGGAGAACTGGTTTGGGCTGGAATGGGTTAGCCTGACAGGATGCTGTCGGTCCAGGGAACTGTTTAACTCCCCTCCAGTCCCCCAATCTGTGCTTACAGTTTGGTGAGGCTGCGCAGTCCTCTGAAAGCCGAGATGGACACGAAGCGAATCTTATTGTTTTGCAGGCACCTGTGAGCAAGAGCAGTCAAAGAGAAAAGAACAAAACAGTGTCAGCTTCGCGGGATGGAAGAGCCTGCCGTGGCGGCCGCACACGCATGTGCGGGTGGCCTCTGTCAGCTGAGATGGTGCATCTTACTCAGAGTCTTTTACTGGTATTAGAAATTGACTTGAGAGGAAAGGGGACACGATAGATCAACTGGCCGAAACTGGTATTTTGCTGCCAAATTTGCGCCAGGTTGGGTCAGTTGGTGTGAATGCAAACTGTATCAAACTGCCCTCTAAGTGTGTATCTCTACTCCCAGCTAGCTCAGCTCTCGAACCTCCTCAGGGACGGTTCCGTGCGGCAGATGCTAACAACGGGTCAAAGTGTAGAGTACATGTGTCGTGGGATGCTCGGCTAACTGGAACATCTGCATCACACTCCTGCCCTAGGTGCGGGGACCGTTGTGAAGGAGGTACGAAGTTTGTAAGAGCCAGAGGCCTGGAGGACAGGCACGAGACAGTGCGTTCTGGATGTGACCTGACCGTTACATTCAGGAGCTCACAATAGATGTCGCCTTGCACAAGGTCAAGGCAGTAGACTTTCTAGCATGGGAGGGAAGGGCATCATGAGCCTCCACCCCTAACTGAGGAGCTGTTGATGGTTACTGACTTCTAGGAGGAGGGGAAGACAGGTTTCTTTAGGAGTATGAGCCCTGGTAGGTTAACTATGCTCCAGGGGACGGTACCCCTCTGCGAGTATATGGGCAACACAAACTGGACTTAGTGGGTCACTGAAAAACACACACAGAAAGAGGACACACAGCTGGGAGGGGAGGGGAGGTGGGGGAGGTGGGGAGGCGAACCTGGGAGGAGTGTGGGATGAATGTGATAAAAAATACATTGTATGAAATTTGCAATCAGTAGAACTATTATAAATATTTGAAACATTTGTGCAACCATGTTCATAGCAGCATTATTCGTAATAGCCAGAACCTGGAAACAACCTAGATGCCCCTCAGTTGAAGGATGGATAAGGAACATGTGATACATTAACACAATGGAGTGCTGCGCAGCAAAAAAAAATAACGACATCTTGAAATTTGCAGGCAAATGGATGGACCTGGATAAAAACATCCTGAGTGAGCTAACCCAGAAAGACAAATGTAATAAGTACTCTCTCATAAGTGGCTTTTAGACATAAAGCTAAGAAAAACCAGCCTACAGTTCTCAAACCCTGAGAACCTAGACAACAAAGAAGACCTTAAGAGGAAAGTACATGAATCCTCCTAGGAGAATGAATTTCTCCTTGGAGAAAAAAAGACAAGGTCTCCTGAGTAAATTGGGAGTGTGGGGGTCAGGGGGGAGGATTGAAGGGGAGAGGGGAGGAAGGAAGGGGAGTTGGGAAAACGTATAACTCAATTAAAAACAATATAGTATAAAAAAGTCATTTGAAGCTGGAAAACAACCCAGACAGGGGCCAAGGTTACCGTCTAGAATTTTTGAGACAAGAACTAATGTAGAGGAAAGCCTGAAAGCCAGGCTTAAAATTTTCCTGTTATAATTATACAGATTTGTAAGTACTCATAAAGAATCAGACACCCACCCAAAAAAATGTTTGCAACATGTTATGCCACAAACCGTATTGCATAACAATAACAAATCTTAGTAAATCAAATTTAGTTTGATTAATCTGACACCCTAAACCTTGTATAATTGAGACAACTTATAAGGGGTTTAAATGACCAAAGAGTGACAAGTTTCATATGACATGCCATGGGCCCAGTCATGCGGCAGGTAACATTTATTTTTTTGCTGATACACAGGGAGACTTGAAGATGGACCGAGTGTTTCCAACTGTGGCGTGCGTCTAGTGAGCAGCGGACTGCACCGTCTGTATATGGAGTCAAGGTGTGCCTCTAGAAACCAGACAGAATGCTTTGACTTTAGGCTCTTTGGATCACTGTTGCTTGGAGTAATTTGCTCAAGAATTAATTGAAGAGTTAGGAGTGGAGGCTTATGCCTGCAATCTGAGAATTTGGGACACGGAGGCAGGAGGACTGCTCTTAGTTCTAGGCCAGTCAGGTCTATAGAGTGAAGCTTGTCTCAGAACACCAGCAGGAACTGGAGAGATGGCTGGGCAGTTGAGAGCACTGGCTGCTGCTCTTCAGAAGACCCAGGGCCCTTCCCAGTCACACAGTTTACCATTTAGTCTGCTCATCTCTACTTGCAAGTATGCATTTCCTTGAGCCATCCATTGGTCTGTCTCGAGGCCTCTGGCTTCTGCTGCACCCTCGATATGGGCTCTCACTGCGGCTGGTCTCGGATATCCTGCTGTTGTCCTGTGTCATGGAGACCCTGCAGTTTTGAATCTGTAGGTTTGTTCCCTTCACATACTCCAACAGTTGATAGATTCCGTGAATGCTGGGGTGGGCCAACTCATAGTCCTGGTTCTGGGGCTGGGTGGTAGCTGGGGTGGTCAGTCTGCCAGCCTTCCTTCATCGTCAATACCAGGGCAAGCTCTCCAGCACCACCTTGGCTAGCTCACCCAAAGAAGCATGCAGCAAAAAACAGGCCAATTCTCCTGCTCTCAGGTAAAGCCCCCTTTAACTGTGAAACTCTGAAAAATGAATTGTCATTTGAGTTCTATTTTCAAACATGAAATACATTATTTTCATGTTATCTGGTGCTTTAGAATAGCTCATTTTTATGAAGTAAATAATTTTCCATTTGTGTTTTCTCTATTTCCATATATTATTATCATTTTAATAATATCACATTTATTACACAGTTTAAACTATCAGGAAGACAAGCAAGTTGCTGACAACATGAGGCTGGACCTTGGTTTTCTGAGGGTTGTGCCTTTCTTTTTACTTTTTTAACAGAAGATAAAACTAAAGAATTATGTCTGTCGTGAGCATACGGTGTCAGACATAGATGGGCATGTTTGTATTTTTACCATGCCAGAACTTATTGAAAAACAACAAATTTGCAAGTGCTATGGCTTTGGCTGGCTATAGTTTATAAAGTAGTCCTGATAGCTCTTCATAGCAGTGGTTCTCAACCTGTTTGTTGGTCACGACCTCTTAGGGTACCCCATTTATTAATTGGATTATTTGGTATTTTAATGTTTAGTTTCTTGAGTTATTTATATATTTTGGAGATTATCCCCCTGTCAGATGTGGGGTTGGTGAAGACCTTTTCCCATTCTGTAGGCTGCCATTTTATCTTACTGACCACGTCCTTTGCTTTACAGAAGTTTTTCAGTTTCAGGAGGTGCCATTTATTAATTGTTGATCTCAGTGTCTGTGCTACTAGTGTTATATATAGGAAGTGGTCTCCTGGGCTCATGTGTTCAAGGCTACTTCCCACTTTCTCTTCTATCAGGTTCAGCATAACTGGACTTATGTTGAGGTCTTCAATCCACTTGAGCTTGAGTTTTGTGCAGGGCAATAGATGTGGATATTTACAATCTTCTACATCTCAACATCCAGTTATGCCAGCTCCATTTGTTGAAGATGCTTTCTTTTTTCTGTTGTACAATTTTGGCTTCTTTGTCAAAAATCAGCTAATCATAGGTGTGTGGGTTAATATCAGGGTTTTCAATTCAATTTCATTGGTCCACTTGTCTGTTTTTATGCAAATACCAAGTTGTTGTTTTTTTTTTTTTTGCTTGTCTTTTTGCTATAGCTCTAGAGTAGAACTTGATGTCAGAGATGGTGATGCCTCTGGAAGTTCCTTTATTGTACAGGATTATTTTGGCTATTCTGGGCTTTTTGTTTTTCCATATAGTATTGAAAAATACTATTGTTCTTTTGAGGTCTGTGAAGATTTTGTTGGGATTTTGATGGGAATTGCACTAAATATGTAGATTGCTTATGCTGGAGAGGATGTGGAGTAAGGGAAACACTCCTCCATTGCTGGTGGGCATGCAAACTTGAACAGCCACCGTGAGATCAGTTTGGTGGTTTCTCAGAAAATTGGGAATCAATCTACCTCAAATGATCAAGACCCAGCAAGACCACTCTTGGTCATATACCCAAGGGATGGACAAGCATACCACAAGGACATTTATTTGCTCACCTATGTTCAAAGCAGCAATAATTGTAATAGTCAGAACCTGGAAACAACCTTGATGCCCCTCAACCAAAGAATGGGTAAAGAAAATTCAATACATTTACACAATGCAGTGTTACTCAGCGATAAAAAGCAATGCCATTAGGAAATATATAGGCAAATGGAAGGAACTAGGAAAAACCATCCTGAGTGAGGTCACCCAGATCCGGAACGATAAACACAGTGTGTGCTCACTCATAAGTGGATAATTGATGTAAAGCAAAGGATAACCAGGCTACAATCCACAGGTCCAGGGAAGCTAGGTAAAAAGGAAGACCTTAAGAGGGACACACATGGAGGGTTCCAGGAAGGGGAAATAGTTAACATCTTCTGGGTTAACTGGGTAGGGGGGAGAAGGGAGTGGATGGGGGATGGGAACATGAGGGTTTGAGATAGCCCATAGCTGGGGGAAGGATAGAGGGGGGAGCAATGAAAGAGATACCTTGATAGAGGGAGCCATTATGGGTTAGGGAGAAACCAGGTGTTAGGGAAATTCCCAGAAATCCACAGATGACCCCAGCTAAGACTCCTAACAACAGTGAAGAGGGTGTCTGAGCTGGCCTTCTCTTGTAATCAGATTAGTGACCACCCTAATCGTCATCATAGAACCTACATCCAGTAACTGATGGAAGCAGTTGCAGAGATTCACAGCCAAGCACTGGGCTGAGCTGCGGGAGTTTAGTTGAAAAGAGGGAGAAGGGATCACATGAGCAAGGGCAAGACCATGAAGGGGAAGCCCCGGAGACAGCTGAGCCAAGCTAGTGGGAGCTCCAGGACTCTGACAGTTGGGGAACCTGTATGGGGCCAAACTAGGCCCTCTGAATGTGGGTGACAGTTATGTGGCCCTGGTAGTGGAACCAGGACTTATCCTGGGTACATGAACTGGCTTTTCGGAGCCCATTCCCTGTGCTGGGACACCTTACAAGGATCAGAGGCCAGGGCTTGTGCTCGGGTCATCAGACTTGCTGCCCATGCTGGATAGTTTTATTCTAATAAATCCCATACATGTATACACACATACATACACACATATACACATTCATATATACACGTATGTGTATTCTAATAAATCTAATACACATATACACATATGCATGTTCTGTTGCTCTAGAGAACCCTGGTTAATATGACTATATCAGTTACTATGACTTTTGCACACTGAGCCATCTTGCTGGCCCCAAGCTCAGCACACTTTCTCTGAGATGAGCATTGAGCTGATCCATTACAGGAGGAGGCAGGAATACTTATTTCCTTTCTGTGGAGCATGGTGGAGGGGCCACAGCATACGGATTCCAGTTTGTTTAGGAATTGTTATCTGAGTTTTTTTTCTAGAATGTCTCCTAGAAACACTCAGAATTTTTGCCCACAAGTTTCCAGCTAAGGGACACATAATGTCTGCAGATGGGATTATTAGACTTAATACATGCTATGATGCTATTCTCTCCAGAAGGAACAGGAAATGAGCGCACAAGACCGCGGGGTCAACGCAAGCCCAGCGTTAGAGTGTTCCTTACAGCTTTTGAAGCTCACGGTACTTCCTGAAGCCGTTGGGAGGGAGCGTTCTTATGAAGTTCCGCTGCAGGGACCTGAAACACACACACAGTTGGGTCTTGATGAGTAGATTTTCACTAGAATGTCTTACGTCTAATGATATCTACCCCAAGATCTTGAGCTGGAGGCTGAGCTGGATGCACTGGTTTCATGATGTGTTAAGGAGTGACTGACAAAGCCGAACTAGCCGCGCTTTCTCCAAGCCACTCTGGGTGACTGGGCCACCGCTGAACCTCTTTTCCTCTTTGTTCTAGCTCGCTGGGACATCCTTTCCAACCAGTGTTCTGACTGAGCTTCTGAACAAAACTCTGCCTTACAGTCTTTTGGTGTTTATACACCAAAATTTTGGAAGATATCTAGAAAACCTATGGAGATGATGGTCTTTTCCCCCTCTTCGAAGAGAAGATTGGGACCCCCAAGACTGTGCAAGGAAGAACTTAATATTCTTAAAGAGAAGTCCAAGTATGATTCTATGAGAATCTATGGTTAGCAGGGGCTAGCCACCCTCTAGTGGAGTGAATTGCCATACACGGAGGTAGGCTTCTCAAGGATATCCAAGAAATCATGCTTGAAAAGCTGAATCCTTGTTAGCACATTCCCAAAGTTTACAGACAAATATCATTCTTTCTATATGATACAAAATATTTTAACAAATAGCTTCATTTATATTTTCAAAATGGCCTCTTATTAAAAGTGGTAGATATTGGTTACATTGATTAGGAAAACCCCAAACACTTTCATCAATAAGATACCTTTATATTTTAAAATTCAGTATCCTGTTTGGTTCCTCACTAAATCATACACATACACACACTCATATATAGCATGTGCATGTCACAGAGAGGGAAGGGCAAGCCAGAGCTTCACTTTTCAGTGGTTGCATTCAGGGATCTAAAAGTCAACTTTCGAAGTTAACATTTATTGAGTAGAACAATGCATAAATATTCATAGCTACCTGTGTTTGCCCATCTCTTTAGGATTTATTTGAAACATTTCCCAAAAGTCTCGACTTCAGTAAATACTCATTGGATGATTGGCCTCTCGGATACTTTTCTTACATGTGAGTTAAGCCATTCCTGAAGTTTTCCTATAATAATTGCTACTCAAAATCTGGAAGAACTCAGTAGTGGAATGTGATATTTAGTTTTTAATACATGTACACTAAAGTATAGAGATTTTTTTCCCTCTTGAACAGAACAATCAGACTGGAACAAGGTATGAAATTGAGCCAGGATCTTCAGAGAAGAATCTATAGGGACAACTGGAATCAAGTGGTTTAATCAAAAGTATGGGACAATGCTGTATAGCTGTATTTATTGGTATATATACACTCAGAATTTGTGTATGCTCATGTGTGTGCACTTGCGTGTGTGCATGCATGTGTGTGTGTGTTTACAGTCCTGATGATGAATTCAGGGGCCTCATGCATTTTAAGCAAGTGCAATATTACTGAGTTACATCCCAAGTCTAATAATGCTTTTTAATTTTTTTTAAATACACAAATAGTCAAATATTGTAGACTTAGACCTCTGAGCATTAAACCTATATCTATAAATGCCCGTTGAATATCACTGAATGACCTGATAATGTTAAGCTGAAATAAGAAATCTAACATTGATGTCTTGGTCATTCCCATTTACTGGGACCTAGCCTCTTCATTCCTCCATCAGTCTGTGCTCCAGGGTAGGTGCCCTGAAGTCACTTTACCCACGGTCTCCACTTGTCTTCTTGCAGGATATGATCTTTGCTTTAGTTTTTCCTCTTCATCCCTCCCTTTCTCCATCTCTCCCTCCCGCCCTTCCATGCCTGCCTGCCTGCCTGCCTGCCTGCTTGCCTTCCTTCCTTCCTTCCTTCCTTCCTTCCTTCCTTCCTTCCTTCCTTCCTCCCTCCCTCCCTCCCTCCCTCCCTTCTTCCTAGATTAAAGTTGACTGATACATATCTATTTATGTATGTATACTATACATATGTGGTTAGAACATTTCTTTTTTAATCAAATCATAATCTAACTATTTACCCTGTCCCCCCCCCCCACCTCCCTCTCTCTAGCGTTCTTTCTCTGTTCCTTTCTTTCACAAAGGTTAGTTGGATTGTTGGCAAATGGATTCCAATATTACTTGTGGGCAAATGAAAAATCAGGTTGGCTGCATCAGTTTTTCATTTGGATTTTCCAGCAACTCAGTGTAAGCAGTGGGGGTGATAATTATTTCTCTCACCAATGAATTTGTAGAAACCCTTCCTAGGATCTCCTTCAGTTTCTTTGTGTGTGGGGGAATCATTACTTTTCCTCTAGCAGGACTAATTGCTATGATAAGTCACGGGAGGCGAGGAAGGAGAAACACTAACTGATACTTCCTCTTTGTTCAGGAAATGTCGCTTCCTTCAGAAAGCAAGTTTGTATAAATGATTTTCCCCATGTTCTCTATTTATGCCCCCAGACTGAGATCCATGGGGCAGCATCCAGATTCTGCCAACTTGATGGGACTCTGCTGTAGCTCCTTTACCTGTGCCAAGCATCTGGACTGTCTGGTAGGTTGTTTGAGAAAGGCAAGACTTGCCAACACCTGTATACTCAAGGGTTACTCTTACTGTGTCTGCATGAACCAGAAAGCCAGAGTCACAAGACATTAAAACACATGGATGGAGATCCCACACAAACAAAACCCCAACCCCAACCGACTGAATTAAAAAAAAATATCAAGACTTTTACTTTCCATTGAGTTCTTGAAAAAAAAATCTGGACCAAAAAATATGTGTTCGTGTGCTGCTCACATCTGGTTGAGTTCAAATAACCAGAAATAGAAATTAGCACCACAAACACTGAGCACAACAAGACGCTTTTACAAGACTCCTTTTGTCTTCTGTATGCAATTTTGAATTTCATAGGAAAAAACCACAATGTCAAGGTGATTTAGAAATTAATTTAAATGTGAAGCTTTGGGAATAATTTATCCAATGTATTCCACTCGTTCCTCAAGTAAATTATGTTTACTTGTACTTAAGAATACATGAAAGTGTCTTCCTCTATAATAAATCTAAACCAGCTCTTGCAATAAGCATCCAGTAAAATTTCTGTGTAACGGGAAAGGTGGGGATAGTCGTTTCTTTAGTCCCCTCCACCCCCAGTAACAGTCGAAATGGATGGCATCTTCTGCTTGGATAAAATACCGTGAGTAGTCAACACCTCACAGAATTGTTTACGGAGTAACGTAAGGTGAGGTCTAGTATTTAAAAGTGTTTAGAACTATGTGTGAAAAGATCATTATAACTGATGGACAGATGAAGTGGTCTTTGAACACAAATGCCTCGTCGGGAGTGACCTGGTGTCAGTCCGGGCGGTCTCCCTGCTGTTCTATCCAGCCTTAAGGACGAGCCAATCTTTGCTACTTACATTACAGTCACATTGGCAGAAACTGACGGGACAGCTCGTAAATTGGCTCCTTCACAGTCAATCTCTAGATCTCGGCACACACAGTGCTTGGGCACAGAGCCAACCACTGAACAGAGAGGAAGCGGGGAGGAGTGACGGCGTGAGGGACCAGGGAGAGGAGGGGGCGAAGAGAAAGAAAGGCAAAGCCATGAGAATATTGTCGAGTATAAAAGTCTACCATGCTTTCTTTACCCAAGTGCTTGGGGGAAGGCTTTAAATTAAGGTTCCACAGTTTGCTCTGAATTTAACTTTAAGACCAGGCTGGTCTAGCATTAACGTTAGGAAACACATGCATTGAGGAGCCCATCCCTTTTCCATCTTCCTTTCTTATTTTTTTTTAAGATTGATTTTTGTGTGTCTGTGCAAGTATATCTGTGTCTGTAGTCCTGAGCACATGTGTTTGATTGTGTGTGTATGTGTTTGTGTGTGTGTGTGTGTGTGTGTGTGTTCCTGGGTGTCCAGAGGGCAGTAGATAGATCTCTTGCCACTGGTGGTCACAGGTGATTGTGAGTATCTGCTGGTGAGGGTGGGGATGGGAGGATGGGGTTGGGAGAGGTGGGATGTGGTGGACACTGAGAACCAAACTCTAGGTCTCCAAGAGAAGATAATGTTCTTGACAGCTCAAGTCTTTGTTGTGTTAATGGAAATCTGGCTAACTTGGGGTTAGGGAAAAAAAGAGAGTTTCCTGAACAAAGAGTTCCTTAGGATCTTTTAAATTCTCTAGACCTAAGAGATAAGGAAAGGAATCACACAGTGGGATGGACGGGGGCGCAGAGAGCAGGAGCAGAAGAGCCATCTTCCCAGCTCCACCTATTTAATTTTAATATCCGATTGACCCTCATTTGCCACAATATGAATGAAATCTTCTGCTTCTGTCTCCAGCTGGAGAAGTGGTAGTGTGTGTGTGGGGGCTTAATGTCTGTTTGCAAGCTTCTGCTTGAGAATGAGGATCGGGAAGTAACAAATAAAGGCTTTGTTGGAAGACTAAATCATTTGAACCATAAGCAAGCAAGAAAGGAGACCTAAGCACCGAATGATGAGCCTTTATCCTTTCCGAAGGGTTTTCCTGGGTAGCTCAGGGCGGAAGACCGGGAGAGCAGAAACCCTGCAGCAGCTTTTGCTTGTCCACACAGCATTCTAAATGAGCTATAACTGTCGTAAAACAAGCAATGATATGGACAGTACTGTAACTTTAGCTTCTTTGAAGAAGCTGGTAGACATGGCTACACATGTTCCCGATTGACAACTGTTGGAAGTGGTTTCCCTTGTTCACCGGGGCAGTAAGTGTTGGCAGCCATAGCTGCAGCCGTGAGGCTCCCATCACCAGGGAGGAGTAAATGCGGAGGGCAACCCTCACTGTCTTGGGAGTGTCCATTCCACAGCGAGCAGGAACCATACTGTGTAGGTTACATGGGATACACATACCAATGAACTGTTTAGCTGTGTGCACTGCAGGTCTTAGCTGTGTGCACCGCAGGTCTCTAGATGTGCCGGATCTCATCTTTAAGATACTCCAGCCCTGCCAGATGGCTAAAAGCATCCACCCATCCCATTCTGCGTCTTCCCACCGCCCAATGTCAATGACCTTGGAAGGCCCGGCAAAGCTTCACCCCGTAAGTGCAGCTTTAGGCATTATTCACCCTATGTATGATGAGAAATGATGTTTTACACTAGCCTTTGAAGAACTGAATCCCACCACATCCCAAAGTTGTACCTGTTCTGCAGACTGTGGTGGCATACACCTGTGATCCAGCATTTGGGAGGCAGAGGTAGAAGGGCTGTGGGTTCAAAGCCACCCTGCTAATATAAAATCATATTTAAAAATTGTTCGTGTAAGAATTTCAGCTGGGTTAAAAAGAAGATGAACGCATTATCTTGTTAGTGCTTGGAGACAATGAATAAACAATTTCTTCCTCAAATCCTTCCAAGTTAAACTTTGGTCATGCATTGGCTTTCCTGTGTATGACACTTTCCACGACCTTCCTCCAAGGAGCGGACTTTAAAATGTGAGCCGCTCACATCCTTTCAAGCACCTGAAAACGTTTTTGAGCAGTTCTTAGGTGAATTTCCACCAGGAATCTGACACGAGAACAGTGCTGCAAATAGGAACCTTAATTTAAGTTTCACCCCAAGATTTTTATCCTGCACTCGTATTTCATGTACTGCTTGAAAAAGAGGTTGAATTTAGCAATTTTAATCCCCTCTCTCTCTAAAGAACTCTAACTAAAAACCGAGCTTTGTATGTCTTCTAAGTATTGATAAAAAAAATCACCTCTGTGCTGATCTTGGTCCTCCGTCTACTGTGTAGTGCCACAATCCTTGAGTGATTACACTATGACAAATCTCTCCCACGGTGACAGAGTGGGCAAAACAGGATTTTTTAGCCAACTCAGTCTGCTTTTTCCCCATTATTTTTGCTTTGAAAACTATGAGTTAGGTAAGCTACCAGTTCCTCTCCTTGACCTTAGTGACCTGAGCTTTGGATGCGGTCACCGAACTCTCCCAGCAAGAGCTTTCCAGCTCACTCTCTCTCCTTCCTTTATCTTTTTCTTCTCCTTCCCTCTTTCATCTTGTCTCCTTCTTCCCTTCTGCCTCCCTTTCCCCTTTTTCTTTCCAGTGTTTTTGGAGACAGGTTCCCACTGCGTGGCCCAGGATGGCCTTGGACTACCCAGGGTTCTGGTGCTGTCATTACAACATTACACATTGGGTTTTTCCTGGTTGACATATGTGCTAATGTGCACCGTTACACCAAACCAAGCATTTTCTTAGAGAATATTTTTTTTGAGCCATTACCTTTTCATTTGCCATTCAACTTCTGCCTCTTATAACTTGCTAATATGTTATTGATTTCATTCTGTTAATACCTATACCTTAACATTAAATCGATAAAATTTTTTGGAATGTAGTAAAATAGAGGATTCAGTTCAATTTTTTTAATAGAGTGAGATATAAAATTCAATTAAAGTATAAGAAAAGAAAACTAATATATAAAATGGAAAATGAAAGTACATTTTAAGATAATACATCTAGTTCATATTTCTATTATATCAATAGCAATGCTATACCTTTTAGATTTTTTTCCTTCAAAAATGTTTTAGCTTACATTTTTTTTCTCCCAGCAGTATTAGAGATTGAACCTGGGGCCCCACACACGCTAGGCAAGGGTCGTACAGGAGCTGTATCGCCACTGGAGTTTTGGCTTTCTAAGGATCCAATTATTTGGTCCCCCTCTTTTGAGAGGCAGGTGTGATGCTGCCCTAACTTGGTGGGTGCCCCTGAAACTCATGGTGGGGGATGTGCATGCCTTTACGTGAGGGGTTGTTGGGAGCCTGTCAATCCCACTTGAGGAGTGAAGACCAAAAGTATTAGCAATTTGAAAAGCTAAACTTTAAATTGTGGAAAACAATGAGCCAAAAAAAGAGAAAACAATACAGCCAAAGAGTCCTCCTGCCTGCAGCCCTCAGCTTGTGAGGAGAGCTTTGAACATGTGTCCAAAGCACACCTGTCCATTTGCATATAATTTATTAACTGACAAAATGCACTTAAAAGGCATTATTTTAGCAAGTATTCCTGATCTTGAACCTGGCAAAGCTGCTGCTTAGGCTTCCCCCTTCTGTACCTGTGCAGTATCTGCAAGTGATCAGCAGGTGACTGCAGAGTTAGATGCAGTGACTCTGGCTTCCAAAAATCTGTGGCTTCAACAGCAGAAGCAAACGTTCTTCCCTTACAGATGTTAGGACCCAAGCAGCGGCTCCGCGCCTCCTCCTTGCTTTCCTTCACACAGAGTTTATGGGGGTGGGCAAAAGAGGGAATTCTAGAAAACAGCAACCCTGACCACTGACACTGATTTTGTTTGCGATACCTGATTTAATCGATTCCAGGTGCACTTAAAGACAGAATTCCAAACTCAGGCCTCCTTTCTTAAAACATTCGTAACTAGAACACTCTAATTGACTTTCAAAAATTTTGCTGTATCCAAAACGTAATAGCTTGGCATCTTACCATGAACTCATCTGCGGTGTGGCTACTTACAGCATTCAGAAGGGGGTCGTGGAGTCAGTTTGTAGATATCGGAAAAGTACTTGTCGAATTGTAGAGACCAGCCATTGTTGTCGCCTGAAAAGAAAAAAAAAATCCAAGAGCGAGAGAGTTCAAAAGGAAAACCGGGCAGATAGACTTCGCTATCTCAGCAAAAACAATTCCTCTAAATAAGCCAGAGAATCTCCAAGGTGTTTTGGTAATTACCACCAAGGACTTCCTGCAGGGTTGCATTTCTGTCCCCTTTGGGAGGTCTGGGGTGGTCCAACTCTCCACGCTCATCAAACACTGTCGTAGCTTCCTACGAGTCATATTTGACCATCTGCATTTTTGCCAGTGGCAGAAATGCCAAACGTGGTCCACCATTCTCCACATCGTTTTTTAGTTTCCTAGGCTGCCTTCATGAACTGAAACTGATCCCTGGCGTATATAGACACATCTTTATTCCTCAAAGCTGGTTTTGGTTGTTTCAGCACGGATAGGTGACTGTGGTGGTTTGAACGAGAATGGCTAGTCTCCTGCTTAGTCTCCAGTTGGCTGTTTAGGAAGGGTTGGGAGGTATGGCCTTGTTGGAGAAGGTCTGGCCTGGAAAGAGGTGGTGTGTTATTAGGGGTGGGATCTGAGGATTCAAAAACCCATGCCAGTTTTTGCATCTCTCTTTGCCTGCTGCCTGCAGATCATGATGTAATCTTCAGTGCCATGCCTGTCTGCTTCCCGCAGTAGCAATCACAGACTAAGTCTATGAATCTAGAAGCAAGCCCCCGACTAATGCTCCCTTTCAAAAGGGTTGCTTTGGTCAAGGGTCTCTTCACACTGTCTCAGAACACTAACTAAGGTGCCCATGCTGACTATATTTAAGACAAGAAGCAGCAGGCCCAGAACGTGTCTCAACTGGTAAAGTGTTTGCTGTACAAACAGAAGGACCTGAACCTGAGGGGTTTTTTTTGTTTGTTTGTTGGTTGGTTGGTTTGCTTGTTTTTGTTTTTGACAGGATTTCTCTGTAACTTCCCTGGCCATCCTGGAACTCACTCTGTAGACCAGGCTGGCCTCGAACCCACAGAGATCCATCTGCCTCTGCCTCCTTATTACTGGGATTAAAGGTTTGCACCACCATGCCCTTCCACCTGTTTTTGTTTGTTTGTTTTTAAGAGGACCTGAGTTTAACACCCAGAATCCACATTAAAAAAAAAAAAAACTAAACGAAAGAAAATGGGATATGGTGGCGTGGACTTGCAATCCCAGGGTGCGGAGGAAAAGCAGAACACAGGAAGTAGAGCCGAGAAAGACTGTGTGTGCTGTAGGCAGCAGGGCTGTTGAAAAAGCACTAAAGCCCTCTGGGACCCAGACTGCCCATCAAGAGCGCCAGAAGCTGGACACAGACCTCTGGGGTTTGGTATTTGCCATTTTGGGTTTTGGTATTGGCTTGGTCTGCTCTCTTCTTGCTATGTCCCCATTCTTCTAGGTTGGGACGGGAGCAGTTATTCCGTGCCGTTGTATGTTAGCTCTCGTTTGTAACTTCACAGAAGTTCACTGTTCACGCACTGTCTCTAGTACCAGAGGACTTTGGACTTTTCAATGTTGGAACTGCTAACACCTGTGGGGAGCGTTGGCGCTGGAACGGATGAATTCTGTATTATAGGGTGGCCGCCGATGCACGGACAGAGAGCAAAGAGCTAATACCTGAGAGATATAGTTGGGTGTCACATTGATAAAGGGTGCACTTGCGGCATTTTATAGTGTCAGCTTGACAGACCCTCCTTTCCTAAGGATGAAAGCTTCTGGGTGTATTTGTGAGGGATGGGTAGACTGAACTAGCTGAGGGGGGAGGACCCCCGATAGATGTGCGCAGAACCACAACCAAGCTTAGGGTCCTGGACTGAACAGAAAGGAAGCATGCTGGGGATAATCATTCATCACCCTTTGCCCCCCTTTCTCCTTCGCCACTGAGGACTGACTCTCACTGTGCCTATGAGGCCAGCGATTTCCTACTGCATCAGCCTCGTCTCCAGCCCTGGGCTTCTTGACTGTGGGTGCATTGTGACCAGTCACTTCAAGCTTGCAGCCACTGGGACTCCCCTCCGTAATGACCTGGACCCGTGAAGCGTGTGTCAAAAATAAGATTTCTTCCTTAAGTTGCATTTGCCAGGCATTTTGTTGAAGCAACAAGACAAGTTACCAATGCAATCATGCGCGCATTGGGTTTTGAGGTTTTTGAGGTTTTTGGCACTGAAATTTCCCCTTATGTGGGTTTGGCAGGTTTTTTGGACTTCTGTATAAACATTTAATCAATTCTTTTAATTAACTCAGAAGTATTTAGGAGTTGGAATTAAGGAAAGTTTTGAATATTGCAAGTGTTATCAAAAATTTCAAGATAAATAAGATCCATTTTTCAGAGTAGCATTATGAGTTGTTATCTATTTATAAATAAAGTGTGGCAATGAATACCGTGATTCATTGGTCTTGGCAATGCTGAGGGGGCTGCTGCTTCTGCCTCCCTCTCTCCCATTTTCCCCATCCTCCCCTCTCTCGTACTCCCCCCCCTCTTCTCCCTCTTCTTTTGCTGTGATGTTGTAGATCTAACCCAGGGACTCACACATACTAGGCAAGTGCCCTACTACTGAGGTAACACTCCCATTCTTCATATTTTTACAACTAAAACTGTTCTTTGTGTCAGAGCCCAGAGTGTTAGTGGTAAGACGAGCAGGTCTTAGGAGGGTCTGCAGTCTTGACCTTGCAGGCTGCAGGGTGGGTTGTGAAACCGTGGACCCGGCAGCCGAGGCTCATTTGGCCACGCCTCTGTTTGGAAGCGGTGCGGGGGAAACTGACACTCATCTGCCAGCTCTCTGAGACGCGGGGCTGATTTGCAGGTGGTATTTCCTTGCTGCTGAAACTGACAGACGTGCCAGTGACTGACGTGATGCTGCTTTTCTCAGTGCTCCTCTAGCAGGTCCTATATTTAACTCAGAGCTTTTGTAAGTGGACTATTTTAAGGTGTCCCGTCTTTGTCATACGTAGTGCCGTGACTTGACACCACCGGCTTGGTGCCCTTCCTGGTTATTTGTCTCTCATGAGTGCTCTCGGACCTTCCCGCTATTTCAAGGCATGCGCTATGCGTGGCTATCTTAGCTTCCTTACTGTTTCTGTGATAAAGTCCTCTGACAAAAGCTAGTTAAGGGGAGAGTTTATTTTTAGCTCCGAGGTGACCGTCCATTGCTTTGGGGACGTTACAGTCACACAGGAACTTGGCAGCTGGTCACCCTGCACTGAGCTTGTCTATTCCGCTTAATTACCCAGTTCCCCTTCTTTACCCTCGCCGACTCCAGGAAACCTTGCGCAGGGATTGGTGCCATTTCTCGGCTAACCCAGTCACAATACCACCCCTCCCCACAGACATGCCCGGAGGCCCGTTTATCAGATAATTCTGGATTTTGCCCAGTTGACAATTATCTTTAGCCATCACTGTGGCCTTTGTTGCAACAATTCTGTCAAACAAGTCCAAACAGTGTAGTTGTTTAAGTCTTGTTGCTTGCTCTTTCTCCTTTCTTTTCTGTTATAAAATGGCTTTAGTAAGAATTTCCCTGGGACACTTCTGGGACCAGGTTAACTGTTCCAGGCAAGGGTGGCTTCGCCGATAATATTGACCCTCTAGCAGGTGTTACCAAAACGTATGAATCACCATAAGCCCCACTGTGTGAACTGCATCTGTCTCATAACAGATATAAAAACAGCATAAATATTGACATCTGATGGAGGAGGGTTATCTGTCTATGTGTTACTTTCATTGGTTAATAAAGAAACTGCCTTGGCCCTTTGATAGGACAGAAAATTAGGTAGGCGGAGTAAACAGAACAGAATGCTGGGAGGAAGAAGGCAGTGAGGCAGAAGCTACAGCTCTCCTCTCCAAGATGGACGCAGGTTAAGATCCTTCCTGGTAAGCCACCACCTTGTGGTGCTACACATATTAATAGAAATGGGTTAATCAAGATGTGAGAGTTAGCCAATAAGAGGCTGGAACTAATGGGCCAAGCAGTGTTTAAAAGAATATAGGGAGGCGGGTAGGAGGTGGAAATTTTTAATAAATGAATACATAAATTAAAAAAAATAAAATAAGATGAAACAAAACAAAAAAAGAATACAGTTTCCGTGTAATTATTTTGGGTAAAGCTAGCCGTGAGCCGGGTTGCGGGACACAGCCCGCCGCTCCTTATTATAACATACGTCCTTGGTATACATATTTATGGAACCTTGGGGTCCAAAGCTCCTTCAGCAGGGACAAGCTATGTGCAGAGCTGGCTGTTGGGGAAGGGATGACAATGCCATCCAGTACTGTCGGGGTTGACCTGAATGGTAAGGGAAGAGGGGCAGGGGTCTGTGGATATCAGCGATGGGAAAGCCTGAAGCCCAAGTAGTGATGGGAGACCTGGCTGCAGACAGGCGGCTCATGCAGCACGCCATTGCTGAGGTAACAAGTGCCAGCAGCTTCCATGTTCATTTTACTGGCTATTCTTCCCCTTCAGCACGAGGGACTGCCACGCCGGTGACCTTTTTAAAGGTGACGTCGCTGGGCAACATGGACCATTCTGGAGGGGACCTGCTGCACTCCTGCTGTATTTTTGAACTTCTTGCTGTCATTTCCACTGACTATTGGAGCTGAGCTGCTGCCCATGATAAGCGATTGTGACTTTGTACCAACTGCTGTGTCTGGGACAGTGTCCTTGACACACTGAGTGCACAGGTGAGGTCAGAGTGGAGCCACAGGCATCCCTGCTCTCACTCCTCTTTCTCATTTTTACTTCACTCCTTTCCACCTCCACCCCCCAAACCATCGCACACTCACATACGGAGAGCAGTGAGGAAACAGGAAAAGGTGAAATAAGAAAAATCGGAATGGCAGTGAGAGATTTCTGACTAGCACAAACAGAACAGACCTGCTCATTCTTCTTGAGACCGGAGGTCTGTATTCTGTAGAAATTTCTTTTTAAATAGTACAATCTTCAAATAAGCAAGCATTTTGGTAATGTGTTTTTACCTTCTATCTGCTCGCCAAGGCGTTCTCTTCTTCCTAGCCTTTCCTTCCTCCAGCAGAAGGCAGGCGCACAGAACAAGAGACATGTGGCCAGAATTGCAAAGTTGGAGTTAGCATTTTTAAGAGAACAGCTTTTTAGTATTATGTGTTTCTATATTTTAACTCATATACGCTTGATATTTTAAGGATACACAGTTTTTCATACATTAGTAACTGCTGCGGGAATTTAGATCTCTGCTTTTTCTGAGGTGATCTCGGGTAATCTGCAGAGTGTTTTACGTTGAAAGAAGACTGAATCCGCTGAATGGGTGGAGTAGTTAAAGACACAGCAGGGAAAGGGAACTCAGTCTCCTTTGCTGTAGTAGAACTTGCAAATCAAGGCACTACCAAGAACACAGACTCTTTCATTCCCGTTCTCATCAATTTTGACAGTGCTGGGCCTGGGTTTTGCTACTATGGGGTTGGATATCTGCATTTTATGTGTCCTGGGTAAACCTCAGTGCAAGTCCTCAGGGGAACTATTTGCCACTACTGTATTTTCATAGTGGGCCAGCCCTTTGATAATGATTGCTTTTGAAGATAGCATTCTTCTCATGGGGCAGTAATGGGGAGTGACCATCCGGAAAAAATTACCAAGAAAAGAAGTAATTGGCCTAATGGAATTAAATGCTTCCTACAGGGTAAATTTCATAAATCTTTCAAAATGTTGGTTTTTACTGGATTCTACAGACATGTTAAACAGGTAGACTTTATGTAGTCCCAACTCAATTAAAAGTTAAAGCTGGCTTTGTGGTTGGGGTGTGACTCTCTCCTTTTCTAAACCCAAGCATGTTTTAAAAGAGAATTCAAAGTCTCTGTCTCATATCAGAAGAAATAGATCTTGCAATAGGACACAAAGCAAGTCTTAACAAATATAGGGAATATTAAAATAATTTCTTATATTCTTTTTGACTGTATGGATAAAACTAGAAATCACAGTAAGAAAAGTTACAAAAGTTACACTAATTTATGGAGCTTAAACAACATGCCATTGAGTAAAGAATGAGTCACTGAAGAAATCAGGATGAATATAAACATATTTCTAGGACTGAATGAAAATGAAGATACAACAACCCCAAATCTACAATGAAAGCAGCCCTGAAAGGTAAGTTGTAAAAACTACAAATGCCTACATCAAAAGAGTGAAGGGAATGGCTCGGTGGTGAAGATTGCTTGCTATCCTATAGATCTGAGTTCAATTTCTGCTGCCTTGTTGGTAGCATATAGGCACCTGTAACTATAGCTCCAGGGCCTCTGCCCCCCTCTTCTGGCCTATATGGATATCCACACACATGCGACATGCATTCACAAACACACACCCACAGACACACAGACACACATTAACATTTAAACAAATCAGATAGCTCTAAAACAATACACAAGGCTTTTGTAAAAGAAGACTGAGACAACTCCCAGATCAGTGGGTGAAAAGAAATCTTAAGATTGCAGAAGAAACCAATGAAATGGAAAGGAAAAAAACTACAAAGAACCAAGGAAACTAAGCCAACTCTTCAAAAAGACAAATTAAGATCGGCAGATCCTCAAACAAACCTAGAGAGAAAGGGAAGATTAAAATTGATAAAATTATTTTTTTTATTATTTTGGGAAACGTATCTTAAAAACATCTACAAAGTAGAAAAATCAAAAAGAAATGGATGAATTTCTAGACACACATGACCTATCAAAATTAAACTGAGACAAACAATTTAAGGTGGTTCTGCAGTTAGCAAGCCTGAAGTATTAATACAAAAATTTTCCAACTATAAAAAGGCCAGGTCCAGATGGATTCCCTGCTGAATTCTATCAGATCTTTCAAGAACTAACACATTTTGCTTCTCAAACTAGACAACAGAGAGGAAAAGGAAAGCTACCGAAACATTTAGTGAAGCCAGTGCTATGCTGATATCCAGATAAAGACCCAAAAAAGTGAAGAAACGATAAACCAACCTCCCTGATGAACACAGATGCAAAGTTTCTCAATAAAACACTTGCATACTTAATTCAAGAACACATGACAGGATCCTACACCACAACCAAACTGGTTTTAATAAATGAAGAATTTTCAAAAGATAAAATACAAATGGTCAATAATCATATGATGGTCCTTCTCACCCAGTCAGAAAGGCAATCAATAAGGAAGCAAAAAACAACAAACACGGATGAGGTTGTGAACGAAAGGGTACCTTTTCACTCTGCTGGCGGGAAGGTAAGGCAGTCCAGCTACTATGGAAATCAGCCTCAGGTCTTTCAAATCAAAAGATCAACTGTGTGCTCCAGTCAGAGACCACCCCCCCCCAGACATGTAGCAGGAGGTCCTCAGGCCAGTAGAGCAGAGATGCTTGCACACAAAGGTTTACTGCAGCTCTCCTCACAGTCGCTGAGTTACGGCTTCAAGCTCGATGTTCAACCACAGAGGAGTGGACAGGGAGATGTGGTTGATGTACACAGCGGGACAGCTTTAATTCCAAAGCAGAAAAGTCATGCCACGTGCAGGAAAATGAGAACACACCTGCAGACACCATTAGTGAATGAAGCCACGTGCAGAGAGACAAATGTCACAGGCTTCCTTCCACACTTGGTTCCTAGAATTTATAGAGATGCATAAAATTCATAATATATATACGATAGGAAGTGGAGGTGAAGCTATCTAGGGGTAAAGAGTAGTAAGGAGAGGGCTGAATAATCACAACAAGTTTTTGTGTTTTGGGGGGCATTTGGGGAACACGCTCAGTGTACAGTAAACACTGCATGAACATATCCCCCTACAGCACAGTTCTGTGTGCAATGAATGCACACATGGAAAGCATTATCAAAAAACAAATAATATATCTAGTCTTCTGGACATTCCAGGTTAGCACACAGAACACTCTAGAGTCCTGGATCTTTTCCCTCCATGTGTGTGGCTTGGCATCAAACCAAGGCTCACTACTACTGCCCAATCTTATAAGACAATATGCTGCATACCACTAGCTTTGGAAAAGAGCGAAATCTGAAATCCAGCATTTTTTTTTGATTAAATGCATATAACCACCACACGGTTGTGAAGCTGAAAAAGATGGAGCAAACCATTCTTAGGTTGGGGCTGCAAGTTTTGTTTGCACCAGATATCAGCTATGTTTCTAGTATGGGAAAGAAGGTCAGATCCAACAATTTGAATTCAAGAGAATGCACCCCCTTCGCCAGTGCCAGAGTCCTCTGTCATTGACCTTGAAGGGTGAAGACAGGATAGCTAGTTGGGTAGGGGGCGGTACAAGTTCCCTGGATAATGTATAGAGATGTGTCAAACCTTTCTTAGCTTCTCTGCCAGGATATTTTGTGAAAATTCTGTACTGAGATATGATCAGAAGTATTGCTATTATACTAATATATTAGTTCCCACTTGGTGCTAATATATGCTCGTACAATGGAGTGTGAGAAACATCTTTGTATGAAGCTATTATCATATGTCACTGCTAACATGCTTTGAAGAGTGTTTGCTTCCACATTTGCATGACAGAGAACCCGTCCAGATCAGAGAGAACCCATCCAGATCAGAGAGAACCCTTCTAGATCAGAGAGAACCCGTCCAGAT